ATCAACACTCTCTGTACTACATTTACACCGCGCTCTCCAAAGATGTCGCTCTACCAGGGATCTATGAGTTCACAGCACTGGGTCTGCTCGATGACCGGGAGATCGACTACTACAACAGTAAGGAACAGGTTAAGGTTCCTAAGCAGGACTGGATGAAGGAGAAGATGCAGCCAGATTACTGGGACAAAGGCACCCAGTCTCGCAAGAGCAAAGAGCAGTGGTTCAAGGTCAACGTGGACATCCTGATGCAGCGAATGAGACACACAAATAATACCAGTTAGTTTGTTATCACTCATTCTTCTTAAAATGAAAATCATAAATTTCCATCCACTGTGTGATTCCTCTGGTTTTGAGCAGCTAATGTGTTTATCTTCACTGTCTTGTTACATTAACTCAATTCCAGACCTTCACGTTCTTCAGTGGAGACATGGCTGTGAGATCGATGAAGCAGATGGAAATGTCAGATTTCTGAGAGGCATTGATGAGTACAGCTACGATGGGTCAGATTTCCTCTCTTTTGATGATGAGAACATGCGGTGGATCGCTCCAGTTCCAGAAGCTCTGCCAACCAAAAGGAAATGGGATGAGGTGCCCATCCTGAACCAGTACACCAAGGGTTACCTGGAGAAAGAATGTGTGGACTGGCTCACCAAATTCATGGAGTACAGAAAAGAATCACTGAGAAATCATTGTGAGTCCCAAAGTCCTTGTATTTTTCTATAAAATCTGAACTTCAGTGTTGGTGTGAACTAGTCACTTATTTCCTGAGAGCATGATGAGAGTCAGCCGTCCTCAGCCCTGTTGTGAGAGGTAGCTTTAAATAAAGTAACGTTTGGCCACAGAGCCACAGAGGAAGCACATGACACTCCTCACATTTACAGGTTGTTTGCTACAGCGTGGTGGTTAACTCTGTAGCAGATGGTAACAGGCTACTGAAGGACTTTTTTTTTAACTTTTTGAAAAAATGAATTTTTTGCCATCATTTCAGCCAAACCAGATGTTCATGCCTTTGCAAAGAAATCTCCAACTAACTCAGGCAGACTGACCCTGACCTGCCTGGCCACGGGCTTCTACCCCAAAGACATGGTGGTGAGTGTGAGGAGGTTGCACACTTCACTGCCTGAACATCTACTAACATCTTCAGGAGTCAGACCCAATGATGATGGAACCTACCAGCTGAGGAAGAGTGCGGAGATCCAGGAGGACGAAAGAGAAGCAGAATATGACTGTTATGTGAATCACATCACCCTCAAAGAACCAGTAATTAAGAAATGGGGTAATTATATCTGTGTATCTAATGTATTTCTGATCTACTGAAGTTTAGAATTAGTTTCTCAATGTAAATCTAAGCCCAGTTTAACAGAATGGCAGATGTGCAGAGACTAGACCCAAAACTACATGATGAGGACAGCTTTAAAGTATTTCCCCACTTTAATCAATACTAATATTGTTGTAAATGTTTTTTCTTTAACTGAAGAATGTTCTGTTAATTGGTAAATTGTTAAGGTTTATGTCAGGAACAGGGGTGGTCTTTGGAGCCCCATATATATATATATGTAGTTAAATCATAGTTTTCTAAGTCCATAGTTTTTGTCCATTCTTCATGAAATCTATACACAATGTAAAGGGCAGCAGGCATTTTCACATTATGCCAAAAACTGAAATACATAAAAAATGGAGATACAAGGTTCTCTTCTGACAGTAGTGATATATATAAACAGTGCAAAATTCACCAATTCGCTCACCTCCCGTGTAGTGAAGGTAACTTAGTCTGAGGTAATGTAGTCCAGTTCATTGATGGAGTGTCAGAAAGCAAAGAGTTAATGAGTTAATGAGGGGACAAGAGAGTGGAATGACGAGCCGACCTCTTTTGGTTATCCATTAGCTTTTAGCCTAGCCTGGAGACATATGGTCTCTCCACCTACAGCGCCCCTCACTCAAACAGCTGCCCTGGACGATGTCGGGCTGGTCTTCTATACATGACAAGAGCCTGACAGCTTCTCAGCTAATACTGCTAACATGAGTGACTGTAACAGTAACTAAACTCCAGCAGCATCTGACGCTTTATGAAAGCACCAGTGTAAACACATGTGAGACCAATGACTAAAGAAATTTCGCTCTATTTTTGCCAAAGAACCTGATTTATTTTTTACATGCGCTTGGGTTCATCTTATATCATATTCAGTGTTTGTGATGTAACCAGAGTAATTCAGAGAACTTTGGTGTGAAATGGTTAATTACAGAGACTCAGATGTCTTTACAGATTTCTTTACTATTTTGCCCCACAACGAATTATTCCAAAATGTGTATTTATTTATTTATTTTAAATACATAAGCATACATCACTGTAATATATACAAAACTGACAGAAACCTTAATTAAACTGTAATATTTTTCCACCCCTGGTTAGAACATAATGCTACGACAACTTCAAATTCTGTTACTGTTCTGTTTACAGACAAAAAGTGCAGTGACTGCCAGAGTGATCTAAATGCAGGACTAGGACTAGTTAGAAAAATAACTGTAGGAGTGACTGTGGTTCTGCTCTTGCTGGATTTGCTGGGTGGGATCATCTTTGTCCTTAAAAAGATGCAGATAACTGGTGAGTATAGACTGTATCAGTACAGATTCTGTTAAAGTAGAAAGAATAAATATTGAAAATACACTACAATGTACTACACCCAAAGAAAAATGCCTCCTCAGGCTTCCATCTGTAAAACGTGACGCAAAATGACATTTGAGAAAAATAATCTTTGGAAGGAATAAATTCCAGTCCACTGTAACCAGTGGCAGCAACCCTGATGGCTCCTCTGATTCAGGGAAGTTTGTTCTCTTCTATAAACATCTTAAGTCCAAGCATCTTAAAGCGTGCTTTCCCTTAAAGGGCAGTCAGAAGGAAATAACCATGTACAGTCTGAGGGCTTTTGATGTTTTTATTGTATAGGGAAATTCCTGTGAATATTGACTGAAACGGAGACACTCCAGCTCTACAGACTTTGGTTTTTGTGGCCCTTTTCTCCAGTAACCAGTTTTACTATGGGACATAATGCAGTAACAGCTCAGAGAGGCTTAAACCAGAGAAAATATACACGCTAACGCTTCTGATCAGAAATTCAGCAGTCGCTTCTTGTTAACTCTGTGGAGCCGAGCGTCTCGCCATCAGTGTATTCTGAGAATTTGACCACGACCCCACAAACACATTTAAATCTGCTGCCAGAGGAGTTAGACTGCATGAATATTCACATTGGCTAGAGAGAAATGAATCAGCCTCTGAACTTTTACTGTTCTGCTGTGTTTACTATAACTGTATAAAATATGCATAAGGCTTTGTTTACTGTTGGACGTGTTGTTGTTGTATGTATTTTATTCCCAGTCAGAGTTCAGTTGAAAAATAGCTATGATTTGTGGTCTAAAATAATAAAATGGCTTTTGAAAAACTCTAGAAAATTGATTTCTGGAAGATCCTACAGAGCTCTGTATAGCAGGGCTTTGCAGACAGATGGTCTGTATTTCAGAAGGACAAATTATTGTAAGTAGTTTGCATGTTAAAACATGTGCAGTACAAATACAAATATACCGTTTAAATGCAAAACCATAAAAGGCTTACTGAAAGGGGTGAGGAGGATTAGACAGAAATGTGTACATTTAGCACTTACTGCAATAAACAGCCTTTTTAAATAGCTGACAATGTGTTACATCATGGAAGAGTTACAGAAAACTATGATGAAACATACAAACTGAAACCTTTTATCTGAAAATATAAAAATATAGTGCTGAATTCCTCAAAATCACCACACTGTGTCTTAATAAATTCTTTAAATCATCTGATAAATATCTTCAGATGTTTAACTGACCCGCTCTTCAGACTGAAATGGAATAGCTTTGTATAAACATTTTAACATTATTAAATCACCTATTAATCTATTACAGAGAAGCCTATATAGTTTAAAACATAGCTTCTTATGAAAAACACAATCAAGCTCAAAGGTTTGACTGGTAGTTTCATCACATTTCTTTTTGGTTATGCATAGGAGATATAGGAGAATATGGATATTTCAAAGTAATCTTTAGAGTTCTTTGCACAGCAGTCCAGACCTGCTGCTCACAGTAAGGATCCTGTGGATTTACTGACAGCAGATTACAGTTACATACACATGCAACTGCAGCTGCTTCAGATTAACAACATATTTGGCTAATTACCAAAATAAAATGATTGATTATATCTTATAACTGTGTATTTGTACCTAATATGTCTTTTTTTAAAACACCAGTTATGCTCTTATTCTCTCACTGGCCACTTTATTAGAAGCCCCTTCCTTGTAGCTCCACCTTGAGGTGTACAGTTAGACTCTGCAGCTCAGGGTACAGCAGGCTTATAAACTATGCAGCAACACATGAGCTACCATCTACAGGAAAGGTGTTTCTAATAAAGTGAATTATGATAGTACATAACGATGATGTAATCTCTGTTTCACAGGGAACTCCAGGAATTGAATTCCACTGGGACTGAACTCCAGATTATCCAGGATTATAACCCTGACTTTTCACAGCACAGACTCTTTTCCATTCATTTATGAAGTCAGTACTTTTACATCACTGTTACGTTAAAATGTAAGATTTGGGGATGTGGAGACCTCTCTGCTGGAAATGTGTAACCCCTTTCCTGAGCAGGTGAATCTGATGATTGCGTTGATTTTGAGATAATGTAAGACCTAACAGTGAGCAGGGCTTTCTTTTTGAGCCTGTGCATATGATGTTAATTATGACATATGATCATATGTATGAATATGTAAAGACTTACGACGTGGTGTGAAGAACTCCCAACCTGATGCCTCTGACTTTTAAATGATTATTTCAGGCTCAGGGCGACTCAGTTTGTGTCATGCTCAGCATATTTTAGCCTAATTTTATTCTCCTCAGTCAGTAATGATACTGCTTTCAGTTTTAACAAAAAATCTTATATAGTGCAGCTTTAACAGAAATTCTCCATAATAAAAACTACATTCCAGTACTCATCTGTTAATAATACATACAGTTTAGAAGCTCAGAAGCATCAAAGAACAAGTGAATATTTAGTCCTTCCAGTGTAGTACAGTGGATCTTATTTTAGACAAAAGCTCAACAAAGATGGAAACATTTTCATTTCTAAATAGAAAAGGATTAATCATCCTTGATTGCATCCTTTTAAAGCAATATCTGGGTAAGGCATATTAATTTTAATAAGTTTATGAGAATGCATTTATAGGCAGATGGTTGTTTCTTTCTTTTTTTAGCAAAGGCTCACTAGATTTATTGATTGATTCATAAATATCTTTTTCTTTTTCTTAAGCTCATAAGAACACACTTAAAGGCAGTTATGCAGACTTCCTGTAATGTAACAGTACTCAGGAATGTTAAATGGTCTGTGTTCAGTATGGACTGTTTACAGTGAGACTGTGTATGTAGAGAACACATTAGTGTTTAACACCACTGTACAGTGCAGGAAGCTGGTAGCTAGAACTGTTAAATCAGCAGATTACAATGGTAAACAGTGAACACAGTCTGCACAGGAAGACTGTCTCTATACTGAGTGATCTTAGCCGTCCACTTCATAAAGTATTTGAGTCTCTCTCATCTGGACGACCTTTTAGAGCAGCAGTCGAAAAAATAATCTCAGTAAAAGATTCAAGCTGAACCAGACTAGATGGCTTTATTGGGGGACCTTTAATACAGTTTACTCTGTGTTTATACGTATTGACATATACCATATGGCAGCTTTGTATCTCATCTATGATCTCAGTAATTATCAGACCCACTGTGGTGACTGGATCACCTGTCAGGTACTGAGGGTTTTTACTGAACTGGGAAAAGACTCTGTTTTTATCTCAGAGCATCAGGGAGCTGGACTTCACTACCGGAGTCTCTAAAACTCGCTCGCTGCTGTCCCTCAATCATTTTAGTCTTTAGTCTCCAACTCCTTCAGACTGTAACTGTTTTAGCTGAGTTTAACTTTTCCTCTCTTCTTATTTGAATTTTATTATTCTTCATTTTATCTCACTGTTTAATTGTAACTGTTTTTGTTGTTTGTTATCATTTCATTTACCGTTCTATTCTAGTGAATAATTTTATTTAATTAATAAGATTTTTAGTTTTCTTGTTCTCTTCATTGGTTCTTTTATTTACTTGTAAAGTGTTTTCTTTATGTATTGTGTTGCTATTTATGCTTGCTTGTTATCTGATACTTTTAATTCTATAGAAATCTTCTTGCTGATTTTGATGTGGTTTGGTTGATAAACTTCATCTTAACTTTTTTTCAAACCCTGTTTAAATTGCTCGGCTACATTGTAAATGAGGGACAATGCAGTTCTAAAATAAAGTCAAAATAAAGATTTGATTGATTGATTGGTTGATTAATTAGCACTGAATGCTTTTTAATGTTTTAATGATTCAATTTTTTGATTGCTTGTAAACTGTGGATGTTAGAACATTTTCCAATTTTGGTTGCACTGTTCTGTTTTGTTGTATTCTGTTCTATTTTATTCTATTCTACTCTATTCTATTCTATTCTATTCTATTCTATTCTATTGTATTCGATTCTATTCTGATCTGTTTTTATTATATTCTGTCCCATTCTATTCTGTTCTATTCTATTCTGTGCTGTTTTATTTTATCTATTTTATTCTGTCCTATCCTATTCTGTTTTTAAACACTGTGTCCACTCACTGTCCACTCTATTAGACACTCCTACCTTGTCAGTCCACCTTGTAGATGTAAAGTCAGAGACGATAGCTCATCTGCTGCTGCACAGTTTGTGTTGGTCATCCTCTAGTCCTTCATCAGTGGTCACAGGACGCTGCCCACAGGACGCTGTTGGCTGGATATTTTTGGTTAGTGGACTATTCTCAGTCCAGCAGTGACACTGAGGTGTTTAAAAACTCCAGCAGCACTGCTGTGTCTGATCCACTCGTACCAGCACAACACACTCAGGTAGCTGCATCCAACACTGCATTACTCCCACATTAAATGCTATGTCACAAACAGTGTACTCCCTTTAGAAATAGGTTTGCTATCGCTTTGCTGCTGTAGCACTGTGAATTTCCCCAGTGTGGGACTAAAGGAATATCTTATATTATCTTCATTGCATTTTTGCAATCTTGCATTTATTGATGTATAAGATTTTTCTCAAATTCGTATTAAAGAAGCAAATATGGTATTAATTTAGGAAACAACTGTCTTGCTTGTTACTAAGCAACTGATGATATGTGCACAGCTGAAACGTAACACATAATCAAAATTGTTAAAATGTAGGTTACAACTGCAGTTAACATATATAACCCCAGAAAAGCCTAATAAATACAGTATGGAATAAATACAGTATGTCAGCTATAGACGTATATATATAACTCAAATAAAAAGCTCTGGGAAGACGTGAGAGAGAGTATCTGGGACATATTATCCATACAAATAGCTCTAGACCCAAAGCTTTTCATACTAGCCTTATATACAGCTGGTCATAACATTAGATGGAGAGAACAGATTTTTAGAAATAAGTGTTTTATTTGCTAAAAGAGTTATTGCTCTGTCATGGAAAAGGACTGACAGGCTGAGTGTGGGTAAATGGATTTATGAATTATCTATGATAAGGAAAAATGACCAGTTCTATCAGGGGTAATCAATCACTCTTTCTCCATATGTGGGATCCTTTCAAATGTTTTCTGAGAGGACAGATTTAGTCCATATGATGGAAGTGTCTGGGAATATGCAAATAACTCTGCAGTGTCCAAATTTGTCATTTGTACCGTACTAATGAGATTTTTTGGAGGGGGGGTTAGTTATTTTACTGGGATTTTGTTCATGTGCCGTGTAATTCTGTGCGTTTGCATATGGATATAAATATGCTTGGTATGTGTATGTATATGTATATGCTAAGTTGTTAAAATCAATAAAGATGTTGTTGGGAGATAAAAACTAAAGAGACTAAACTGCTGCTAAGCTAATATCAGAGCCATAGCCCCGATAGTTCTCGACGAAGTGCAGCTCGGGCTCAGCCTTAAACCACAGTACTTTTTTATTATCTACTGATATTTTACTATTTTCACATTATGGCACGTGATCACATTCACATCACATGTAATTATATTCACACTGCCATGTGATTCCTTGCACATTATTTTACATATTCACAATATGTCACATGTGATTACATTCACATTATGTCACGTGATCACAATCACTCGTCAGGTGATTACATGCACATTAGGTCACGATTACTTTCACTTTACATTATGAGCTTATTTATAGTATGTCACAAGTACCCACGTGTGGTCACATTCATACTATGTCACATGTGATCTCATTCACATTATGTCAAACGATCACATTCACTTTATGTTACAAGATTCACACTATATCACATGTCTGCATGTGAACATGTGGTTTATAGTCACCATATGATTCATATGTGAAATCCATGTGACTTCTGTCAGGTCAAAGGTCAATAGGGTTAAATTTACTTTCTTGCAATAAAGATGTTAAAATTGTTAGATGATCAAATTTATGTGCTTATCATCTTATATTTTTGTAGTCATATATATTTGTGTACTCTTGATTTACAGTATGCATGTATGCTTTATCTATATCGATTTAATCCATTATTAAAATCTTTACTCTTTTTTATGAAGTGTGCTGTTAGTGCTCTTAGAAATGAGACTCTCTAAAATGCATCCACTTTTATTTAAGTCTTTTTATTCAAATTTTAGACTATGCCCAAAAAATGTTAAAACTCAAGAATTCATTCATTATGTTGGTATTCAGTTCTGTATTTAGTATTCAGAGGTTTTATCCTTTCTTAATTCACAAAAAATGTAGCCTATACTACAATAAATTTCATCAGCAAAAGCCTTTAGATATGTTAAGAATAACATTGCCAGGCAATCATGTCACCTTGCCTCGAGCGCAGTCAACTGCACCACTTTTCACACGACCACTGAAGCTAAGAGAGCAGAATATCTGATAAATCACAGGCAGGAGACGTTCGAATTATTGGACAATAACAAAAATGCTCAGTGCAAAATTCGTGATAAGAGGTTGTTTGCAAAACGAGTTTGATGAATCATCTGAAATAAGTAGGCAGTGATGTGATATATTAGCATGACATGAGTAAAGAGCAAGCAACTGTGCACAGACTCTCAATTATGAAACGTAACTATTGCTTTTAAGGGAAGTTTTGAAGACGAGTGTTCAGGTTACTCGTTCACAAATACCAAGAAATATTCAAAGCCTGTAAAATGCTGTATATGCTAGCCCTATTCATTGTATATCATTATATCATCATTTTAATTAGACTTTACAAATCAAATCAAATCAAATTTATTTGTATAGCGCTTTTTACAACTGATGTTGTCACAAAGCAGCTTCACAGAAATCCATTAAAGACAAAGTTTTAACATGAAATGTAAATCCTCCAGGTGAGCGAGCCAGGGGTGACAGTGGCAAGGAAAAACTCCCTCAGAGCTGAGGAAGAAACCTTGGGAGGAACCAAGGCTCACATGGGGGGACCCATCCTCCTCTGGTCAAACTACCGACAAAATTATTATACTACTAATATTAATAGTAGTAGTAGTAGTAATAGTAATAGTAGTAGTAGTTAGGAGTCCATGAAAAACTTCAGTGTAGAGTGGGAGTGTGCAGCTAGTCCAAGTCAAGTGGCGGTTGCTAGGCAAGTGGCGGCGACTGGGGCGTGGGCAACTGGTCTGAAGCGGATAGCAGGAGAGCTCCACAGACAATCATCCATCAGTGTCCGTCCGGCAGGTGGGCAGTCGTTTACTTGGAAAAAGGAAGGGAGATGGAATTAGTTTTATTTTGTTTGAGTGTATGTAAAACAGAGAATGTGAACATTTCCAGAGTGTGGCTAACGACTCCGGTAAATCTGACTATAACAGCTTAACTAAAAGGAGAGAACCAAAAGGACACACAGACACGGGAGCACCCTGAAACAATCTGGCATCCCTCCGCTCCACCGTCCACAAACCTGAGTGATCGCGTGCGAGCGGCGGGACAACAGCACCAGCGTCTCAGTTTACTATAATTCCCTGCGTCCATGGACCCCTGGATCTGCTGCCTTTATCTAAGGGGGAACATTGACTACCAAAAGCTAAACTAAACAAGTGAGTTTTCAGCCTAGATTTGAATATTGCAACTGAGTCTGAGTCCCGAACATTTTCTGGAAGATCATTCCAGAGTTTGGGGGCTTTATAAGAAAAGGCTCTTCCCCCAGATGAAGTCTTCTGAATTTTGGGAACTGTTAAAAAGCCAGCACTCTGTGATCTGAGTAATCGTGGTGGCTCATAATGGGAAATAAGGTCTTGTAGGTACTCAGGAGCCCATGTAGGGCTTTATACGTCAATAAAAGAATTTTGTAATCAATACGGAATTTAATAGGCAGCCAGTGAAGTGATGATAGAACTGGACTGATATGATCAAATTTTCTGGTTTTAGTGAGAACCCTGGCTGCAGCATTTTGAACTAGTTGAAGTTTACTTAAATTCCTGCTGGTGCATCCTGATAGTAGTGCGTTACAATAGTCTAGCCTTGAAGTAATAAAGGCATGTACTAATGTTTCTGCATCGTGCAGCGATAAGGCATTTCTTATTCTGGCGATGTTGCGAAGATGTAAAAAAGCGGTCTTAGTGATGCTGCCTATGTGTTGATTGAATGATAAATCTGGATCAATTATGATGCCAAGATTTTTTGCTGCTGAACCAGGTATAACTGGAAAGTCAGCAAGATTTAAAATTAAATCTGGTAATTTATTTCTTGCCACTTTTGGACCCAGAAGAAGAACCTCTGTTTTGTTGCTGTTTAGAAGGAGGAAGTTACGTAACATCCAGCCTTTCACATCTTTTACACAGTCCTCTATTTTCTTTAACCTGTATTTGTCATCAGGCTTGGCTGATATGTATAATTGCGTATCGTCTGCGTAACAGTGAAAGTTAATGCCATGGCTACTTATAACTGTGCCTAACGGTAACATGTATAATGTAAACAATAATGGTCCTAAAATAGAGCCTTGAGGAATTCCAGATCTTACTTGTGAATAACTGGAAGATGAATCATTTACCTTTACGAACTGATAACGTTCCGTTAAGTAGGATTTGAACCACGATAGGGCGGTCCCTGTGATTCCAACCATGTTTTCTAACGTTTCTAGGAGAATATTGTGGTCTATCGTATCGAAAGCTGCGCTGAGGTCAAGTAGTACCAACAGGGATACGTAGCCTTGATCAGAGGCAAGAAGATCATTTGTTATCTTAACTAGAGCTGTCTCAGTGCTGTGATGTGGCCTGAATCCAGATTGGAATTTTTCATATATGTGGTTCTTATCTAGATATGAACTAAGTTGTTGGGCTACAGCTTTTTCTAAGATCTTAGATATAAATGGTAGGTTAGAAATAGGCCTGTAATTAGACAATACGCAGCGTCAAGGTTTGGTTTCTTGATCAGAGGCTTAATAACTGCTAGTTTAAAAGCTCTGGGTACATGGCCCAGGCTAAGGGACGAGTTTACTATAGTTAGAAGAGGATTAATGATAACTGGTAGCACTTCTTTGAGTAATTTTGAGGGAATCGCATCAAGTGTGCAGGTTGTACAATTTGCAGAGTAGATAATCTTCTCTAGTTCTAACTGTGGGAGTGGGTAGAAAGTTTCCAGCCTTTCCTCTGCAACTACTTTATGTTTTATATCAGCCACATCAGATGACAGCCAAGTTGGATTTAATACTGTGGGTTGAGTTTGTTGTCTAATATTTTCAATTTTATTATTAAAAAAGTCCATAAAAACGTCACTGGTGAGAGTCGCCGGAATTTGTGGTTCAGTACCTGCCTGATTTTTTGTAATTCTGGAAATCACACTAAACAGTCCTCTAGGATTATATTTATTATTCTCGATCAGCGAGGCCAGATATGCTGAGCGAGCTTTAGTGAGAGCATTTCTATACTCTATAAGGCTTTCCTTCCAGGCAAAGTGGAACACTTCCAGCTTGGTTGATCGCCATTTCTGCTCTAGTTTCCATACTGTTTGTTTTAAGGTACGGGTTTTATCATCGTACCACGGGGCGAGCTTTTTCTGTCTTATCCTTTTGAATTTAAGTGGCGCCACATTTTCTAAAGTAGATCGGAAGGTATTTTCTAAATAGTCGGTTAGTACATCTAGCTCCATTGGGTCTGATGGAGTGGAGACTAGGGTTGTTAGTTCTGGGAGGTTTTCTATGAATTGCAGGGCGGTAAATGGTTTTATTGAGCGCTTTGTAGAATAGCGAGGGGATGTACATATATTATGGCTAAGATGTAGCTCATAAGAAATTAAGTAATGGTCAGAGATTACTGAGGTTTGCGGTAGGATATTAAGCCTGTCTATGTCAAGTCCAAGTGTCAGAACTAGATCTAAAGTGTGACTACAGTAGTGTGTAGGCCCTGTTACATTTTGCGTAATACCAACAGAGTCTAGGATTGAAGTAAATGCCTTTTTAGTGGGTCATCTGCCTTCTCAAAATGGATATTAAAATCTCCTACAATTATTACTTTATCATTGCACACAGCTAGGTTTGCAGCGAAATCACTAAATTCTTTTAAAAATTCTGTGTAGGGCCCTGGTGGTCTGTAAATGTTAAATACACATTCTTTCCCTTTTCCCTTTGAGATGAACACTGTCTGCACTACATTTACACTGCCTGCAACATAAAAGGCTGGGAGATTTGTGTTTTAGAGTATAACCGTTTCATTTATCAGTTAGTTTTCTTACACCTTTTTTTCCATGTCCCCTCCAGATAAACACTCTCTGTACTACATTTACACCGCCCTCAGCAAAGATCTCGATCTGCCAGGGATCTATGAGTTCACAGGACTGGGTCTGCTCAATGACCGGGAGATCGACTACTACAACAGTAAGGACCAGGTTAAGGTTCCTAAGCAGGACTGGATGAGGGAGAAGCTGCAGCCAGATTACTGGGACAAAGGCACCCAGTCTCGCAAGAGCAAAGAGCAGTGGTTCAAGGTCAACGTGGAGATCCTGATGCAGCAAATGAGACACAATCAGACCGGTTAGTGATTTATCACTTATTCTTCTTTAAAAAATATATAGTGGCATCAGCGTAGATGAAGACACAGGTAAGACCAGGATTCTGCTGCGAGTAGTGCTCTTTTATTGAGAGACCATCAGAAAGGCACCTACAAAGGGGGAGGTCACCACAAGCCATAGGCTTCCATCTCACGATGACCCGCCCTTACACACAAACACCCACACCCCCACATATACGTAACTTAAACTGACAACATTAACAACGAGAGGTCCCATTGTACTTCTTTGTAAATGAGCTTTTGCGTCCAGAGTCTCTATAGCCGTGCCGGCCAGTAGCGTGACACTACAGTATTACAAGTTTCCATCCACTGCATGATTTCCCTGGTTTTGAGCCAGCTAGTGTTTTTCTTCACTGTCTTGTTACATTAACTCAATTCCAGACCTTCACGTTCTTCAGTGGAGACATGGCTGTGAGATCGATGACTCAAATGGACAACCAACATTTCTGAAAGGCGTCAGTGAGTACGGGTATGACGGCTCAGATTTCCTCTCCTTTGATGATGAGAACATGCGGTGGATCGCTCCAGTTCCAGAAGCTTTGCCAACCAAAAAGAAATGGGATGAGGTGCCCATCCTGAACCAGTACACCAAGGGTTACCTGGAGAAAGAATGTGTGGACTGGCTCACCAAATTCATGGAGTATGAAAAAGAATCACTGAGAAAACATTGTAAGTTCCCTTATTCACTGTGTAAGAGTCCTTTTTAAAATCCCTTTACGTTTGAACTAGTAACCTGAGGAAAATGGTGGTTTAATTTGCTTTGTTTGACTGGGTTATTTACTTTTATTAAAAGCTGATTTTATTGAAATGACTTCTTTGGTTTAGGGAGGTCCCGGGTGTCTCACTAGTCTCTGTTAAATAGTCTCGATCAGCTGTCCAGCCTTCAAAACAAACGTTCAAAAAAAACAGCCAACACTTTAAATAAAATTCCCAGAGATAATAAAATGACATATGGGGCGATATTTAAACCTTTTTTGGGACATTTCAGTGGTGAATACCTTGCATGCATTAATTTAACACTTAATGTCTGTAAAGCATAGTCATAAAATCATAAATGTGCCTGCAGTTCACACACCATAAAAATAGCAATGCTTAATCCAGAAAAACTTTTAATTCACTTTATTAGATACTATTACAATTAAAGATTGTAACAAACATTCAGGAAACATTCTTTATTTTGCATGTTGGAGTTTTATAGTTTCTCTGTAATATGGTATATCTTGAATATGGTAGATTGATTCACAGTCTACAGTCCAGTGTTTGTTGTGTTCAGTGATTAGCCAATTGACGTGTCAAAGTGCTGCAATTAACTCTTTCAGACTCAAATTACGTTCCAGGGCACAATAATATGACACAGTAGTTGGGCTGCATCCTTCAGAGACTGCATTTGAAGGCTGACTGCATCACAGCGGTGCGACTAAACTGTCCCATTTTGAAGGCTCCTTCATACGCGGCCGAGAAATGTGTCCATACAAACAGACTTGACTGTAGCGGGTCCAGCTCTCTTTACAATGATTTGTATTCGACTTGTTTAAAACTCAGTGCTTATGTCAGTGTTATGAAATGTTTACCTTTTAATATCGGGTGGTCTCAGGAGAAACTCGGGAGGTCCATAACCTGGCTTTACTAAACTCAGTACAGAACAGCGCACAGAAAAGTGATATACACCATCCTCAGGCTACACGCTTAAAATGATGGTTCTTCAAGGGATCTTCAGTAAAGAAAAATGTTCTGTAGAGCACCAAAAAGGGTTCTTCCATTATTGCAAACTTGATATCACAGCAATAACGGAAAACGTTTTGATGCTATATAGAACCCTTTTACAAGTGTTCTGTATAGAATCATATACAGCACATTCTCCATCAATCTGCAGAACACTTTCACAGTGCAGAGAACCATTTCATTATGCAAAACGTTCTCTGAGTGTTCATGGTTCTACATAGAACAATTTTTACTAAAGAACCATTGAAGAACCATCATTATAAGAGTGTAGATTAGCTCTCACTGCTCTCCTAAAAAAACAGAGCACCCAGAACTAGGGCTGAATGAAAGCTACAGAACTGAATAACTAAACTCAGACGTGACCTGACACCACAATATAAACAGTTTTATATGGACCATCATGCCTGAAAGTATTTTCTGATGTAAAAATGAGCGATGTCTGATTTTTTCCAGCTTAAGTGTGATCTTACAACCAACAAAATTAAAAACTTGTTTGGGTGAGAAGTAGGGTGGCACCATGAACACAAAAACATGATCTCATGAGTTCTTTGTTGACTGAGGCTGAACAATTAATTTAATGAAATAATATGAAAATGGTTGGTTGTTTCTGCTGAATGCATGAGAATATAAGCAAACATCAGTATTGCTGACATTCATTGGTCCAAGAAACACGCAGCTCAGACGCCCATCTATAATCATTAATTGATTTTACTTCATTTTTTATCTGAAAAAAGCAAATCTGCACAGATCACCTTTAGGTTCGGTCGATATAAAAGAGCTAAAGCTCTGGCAGAATAAGTCATTTCATTATTCACACAAATGCATATCCAATTGACTTTTAGACATTTTAACCTAAAATCATAAGGGGAAAGAATTACATTAGGCTGTGGATCAAACTTGGATCTAGCCCATTGAACTACTTTACATTTTAGATTATTTTAAAAATTAAATAGACAATCATGATATGTGCATATATTTAACGCACAAACGATTTAAAAATTATCAGCAACATAATTCTGTTTTACAACCAGCCAGTAGGAACACAGAATCTGCGGCACAGAAATCCCAACAAACTTCTCAACGCCCCTCTCACTTAGAGTTACAGCCCACCCATTTGGAGTTTGACCCTCCCATTTGGAGGTTTTCCAGCCTGCACTAATACGCTTCTCAGCAGAGGAGCGAACAGTGGTTGAAGAGTACACTTTTAAATGTAAATACTGGGTTTAAACTGAGTTGAATAGCTGACGATACAAATGTTAAAAAAAGGCCAATGTGGTCTAAAGAAAAACTTATGCTAACGTTTTGTCTTAGGGAGCAAGGAGCCAAAAGAGAGGAGCGTCTCCAGCTCTATAAATGAAAAAATAAAAAAAACTAAGATGAAAGTTTCTGGTTCCATCTTTTAAAAAGTTTTAAGGAACTTTTAAGGAGCAGCGAATCGTGATGCAGCGGTAACGATGGGAACAGCGATGCTGTGATGCAAACAGGAAATCCACTGAACACAGAACGGCATAAAACATTTTAACACCGCTGTTACATTTCGGAGCACTTTTAAACTTGAGTTATAGAAGTTTAAAACGATGCCTCGTGTACGTCCATGAGCTGCTCTGCTCGCCAACAAATCAGCACTCAGTAGCAGTAATGCTAACCAATCAGCGCTCAGTAGCTGTAATGCTAACCAATCAGCACTCAGTAGCAGTAATGCTAACCAATCAGCACTCAGTAGCAGTGATGTTAACCAATCAGCACTCAGTAGCAGTAATGCTAACCAATCAGCACTCAGTTGCAGTGATGTTAACCAATCATCACTCAGTAGCAGTAATGCTAACCAATCAGCACTCAGTAGCAGTAATGTTAACCAATCAGCGCTCAGTAGCAGCAATGCTAACCAATCAGCGCTCAGTAGCAGTAATGTTAGCATCCTGCTGCCCAAAACCTGTTTGCTGTAGTAAAAAGAAAACATACAGGTGAGATTTCTTTGCTTTTTTAGTGAAATACATCCATCTACTTTCTGAAATCAAAGAAGAGTTCTGGGTGAGTGATTAGAAACTATTTTAACTTTCTGTTTTTAAGACACGCCTTCATAGATTGTGTCCTTCAAAGGATGCAGCTTCTGAGTTGGGACACAGCTTATATTTCTTTTCTACAGGCAAGTATAAATGCTGAAGAATTAAATGTTAATAATGGCTCATAATTACTCTTTACTAGCTATTTCTGATGCCCATGCATGCTGGTTGTAAAGAGCAGGACCGGTCCAGTATGAATTTAATTTATTCAGTTATAAGCTTCCACTGTTAAAAATTTGCCAAATATTCCTATTTAGGTCACTGTTGCCGTCCCTCACATGCTTTCTGCTGTTTGAAGCACTTGTGTGACTGGGAGCTTGAACAGAGATGGTGATATGGTGTGATTAGATGTCACAGAGGGAGCTCCTGTCAGCTCTCACAATTACAGACTGTCAGCTGCAGCAGGAGAGAATTGATTATGAATCACTTTGGGGGAAAACTAACTGAAATAAATGTGTATTTTTTATTTGTTTTCTCTGTAGCTCCACCAACTGTTTAAGTGTTTGTGAAGAAATCTGCAACTGACCTGAAGAAGCTGACCCTGACCTGCCTGGCCACGGGCTTCTACCCCAAAGACATGGTGGTGAATCTGAGGAAGTCCAGAACTTCACTGCCTGAACACCTACTAACATCTTCAGCAGTCAGACCCAATGATGATGGAACCTACCAGCTGAGGAAGAGTGTGGAGATCCAGGAGGACGAAACAGCAGATTATGACTGTTATGTGACTCACAGAACCTTTGAAGAGCCAATAACTAAGAAATTGGGTAATTCTTCTTCATCGTATTCTTTTTCTTATTCTATGCTCAAAATTTAAACAGTTTCTCATCATACAGTTTTTGACCTAGAACCACTAAACTTGGCACCAACATAGAACTTACACCTGAGCGCTTGCGCTTTTAAAACCGATCTGACTTACGCTTTTCGTACAGTGTTCGTCCAAAAACATTTTTTTTCAATAGACAAGAGCAAAGGAAACAGAAACGTTTTCACACTATATATACCCTTTATGAGTCTAATGCCTCTAACTTAATTCCATCACAGTCAGTTTACACTCCATAGCCAAAAGTGTTTGGACACTTGTAAACCAGTGGATACGTTAACCTGGAAATAAAAATAGGTTAATGTTCCTTTCAGACTACGATGCAATGTGAAAAACAATGAGATACTCTGCATCAGCATACCCCCACCTTTCGTCACGTAGGCACTATGGGCCAAAGCCGGAGGAGCGAAACTTCTATCTGAGAGAGAGAGAGAAAAGGAGATTAAAACAGATTTATTAGCGAATAAAGTTTGCATATTTTGAGGCGGATGGCACTCATACCAGCTCCACACACACTATTGTGTTGGAGTCACCGCTGTGTCCGATACACTCGTACCAGCTCCACACACACTACTGCGTCGGAGTCACCGCTGTGTCCGATACACTCGTACCAGCTCTGCACACACTATTGTGTCGGAGTCACCGCTGTGTCCGATACACTCGTACCAGCTCCACACGCACTACCGTGTCAGAGTTACCTGATATACTTGTACTTGTGAGAATTAACCACCACCCAAATAAGATCTGGAAAACATCAGTCCTGTGGTCAGAAACTATACAATGACAAATGGGGTAGAGGGGACTGATAAACTGGGCAGAAAAACATGGATGTAGTCTACAACTGAACACCTACACAGTGGATATATATGAGAGGTGTTTCTAATAAAGTGGCCAGTGAGTGGAAGTACAAGGTAGGTATTTCTAATAAAATGAATAGCGAGTATAAATAACAATGATTTAATCTCTGTTTCACAGGGAGCCCTAGGAACTGAACTTCAGATCATCCAGGATTATACCCCCAATTTTCTTGCAGCAGGGACTCTTTTCCATTTGTTGATCAAATCATTACTTTTACATCTTTGTTATGAGAAAGCTGCACTATGTAAGATCCGGGGATTTGGAGGATTCCTCTGGTGGAAATCTGTAATTGCACACAGCATGTAATTTTACAATGTTGGTTGTTCTTGGGACGCCTTCCCTGAGCGGATGAATCTGATGGTTGCAAGAGAATTCAAAGAGAACTCAGTCAAAACTTGGTGAAGAACGTGTCTTTTGAGGATGTGAGTGGATAATCTACAACCTTGTTTCCTAAAAAAAGTAGAGACACTGTACAAAATGTGAAAAAATGCAATGAATGAGTGCAATGATGTGCAAATCATTTAATTCTAAAACCAATATCTGATGGCCATGATCCTTGGGCCCTCAAGTGGCACTGTGATAAAAAACAGACTGATTCTGTAGTGGAAATCACTGCGTTGTCTATGAACATAAATTGTCACTATGTACACAAATGCAGGTTAAAACTCTATCATGCAAAAAAGAACCATATATAAACAAAATCCAGAAGTGGCGCTGCCTTCTCTGGGCCTAAGCTAATTTAAGATGGACTGAGGCAAAGTGGAAAAGTGTCCTGTGGTCCAACAAATACATTTTTTAATTATTTTTGGAAATCATGGATGTTGCGTCATTTGGGCTAAAGAGGAGAAGGTTAGTGCACATGGTATGGGTGACTGGCTCATCTGTGAAGGCACCATTAATGTTGAATGATATGTACATGTTTTGGTAACATATGCTGCCATCCAGACGACGTCTTTTTCAGGAAAGGCCTTGATTATTTCAGCAAGACAATGTCAAACCACATTCTGCATGTATTACAGCAGCATTGCTCCATATTAAAAGAGTCCAGGTGCTAAACTGACCTGCCTGCAGTCCAGATCTGTCACCACTGATAACATTTGGAGCATTATGAAATGAAAAATACAACAAAGTTATTGAGCAGCTAAAATCCTGTATCAAGCAAGAATAGGAAAACATTTCACTTTCAAAACTACAGTAGTGTCTCCTTAGTTCTCAAACACTTCTTGTTAGAAAAAGAGGTGATACAACAGTGGTAAACAGGCCCCTGTCTCAACTTTTCTTAAATGTGTTGCTGCCATTGAATTCAAAATAGGCATATACTTTTCAAAAAAACAATACAATTTCTCAGTTTCAACACTTGACATGTTGTCGTACTATTTTCAATCAAATATAGGGGATAATTGATTTACACATTCCTGCATTCTTTTATTATTTACATTTTGCACAAAATCCCAACTTTCTTGGAAACTTAGTTATACTATTGTCATCATATCTTCATAAGTACAAGTAATGTTGATTTTGAGATAATTAGAGACCTAATCATCTGGGCCTTTTTTTGAGCCTGTGCGTATGATGTGAAAACGTAACGATATACGATGTGGTGTGAAGAACTCCCAACCTGATGCCTCTGACTTTTAAATGATTATTTCAGGCTCAGGGCGACTCAGAGTGGCGCACGCTTAGCATATTTTAGCCTAATTTTATTCTCCTCAGTCAGTAATGATACTGCTTTCAGTTTTAACAAAAAATCTTATATAGTGCAGCTTTAACAGAAATTCTCCATAATAAAAACTACATTCCAGTACTCATCTGTTAATAATACATACAGTTGAATAATTAGTTCTTCCAGTGTAGTACAGTGGATCTTACATTAAGCAAAAACTCAACAAATTTCAAAGCATTTTGATTCATACAGAGAAAAGGATTAATTGTACTTCATTTGAAACTTTTTAGAGCAATATCTGGGTGACGTGTATCAATTTTAATGATTTATGATTATTAATGTTTTTTTAGCAAAAGTTTACCAAAGATTTATTCATTCTGATTTATAAAACAAAAAAATGATTACTTTTTCTTTCTTTCAGTCTTTTTTATGAATCCTCTATGAACAAACCTGGGTAAAATGTACTAATTTTCATATTCATAGGTGGTTATGCAGACTTCCTTTCTGATATATTTGTGTTTTTTATTGATTTATATCTAGCATCTGTTTTAAACATGAACTGATTTTTTCAGAGCACTGCATTAGTGTTAAACTACTTGTTACGTAATGACACAAATATACCAGCTTCAATAAAAAAAGATGCATTTAAGCATAAGACAAATTATGATCATATATATATATATATATATATATATATATAACTTGAGATTGTAAAGGGCTTATAAATGTAACTGTACTCAGCTAGAATTGCTAAATCAGCAGATTACAATGGTGAACAGTGAATGCGATCTGCACAGGAAGGCTGTCTCTATACTGAGTGATGTTAGCCGTCCACTTCATAAAAAAGTATTTGAGTTTCTCTCATCTGGCTGACCTTTTACAGCAGCAGCGGCAAAAAAATAATCCCAGTAAAAGATCCCAGCTGAACAAGCTGAATGAAACTAGATGGGTTTATTGAGTGGGCTTTGATACAATTTACTCTGTATTATGTTTAACTCTGGGTGCTTTAATGTTTTTATGATTCACTTTCTTGATTTCTTCAGACCTTTAGATATTAGAACATTTTCCAGTCTTTGCTGGATTGTTCTATTCTTTTCCAGTTTAAGATCTGAAAGACAGCTGGATCATGGAAGCCTTTTATACTCAGTTTTGATTTAAATTTACTTCATTGCAATAAAACTGTTAAAACTGTTGTTCTAAAGTTTTTTTTTGTTGTTTTTATAATCATTTATATTCTGTGTTTGTATACATCTGTGTTCTTTAAATACAGTACAGTACAACAGACATGATGATGCAGCTTCACTTTTTTCAAGCCTAGATGTGGTTGAGTTTAAATCTGAATGAGTTACGTGGATTAAAAATTACACATCTGCCACTAGATGTCGCTGTACCTCAGGTTTATCTTAAGCCTGCTAAAGACATGGATTAACTGAGGTTTAAGGCATTTTCAGCTCAGATGAGTACTCAATTAGAGGAGGTGTTAATCGTTATAGTCTTGATTAGGCTTTCCAGAATGTTCCAGAATGTATTGTTCAGAGAAGCTAAAGATGACCTGTGTTTAGGCTAACTCTGTTATTGACCCAGAAGGGAAAGTGTCTCATCACATCAAACATTTTATTCTTCACCCCGACCCACACACAGAAAAAAAAGAAAAACAGTAAAACAGTGCAAAAGCCAGGATAAACAATTCAAAATGATTTGCAATGACTGATGTGTGGAATGCACTGCCAACAGTGTCTTCAGTTTAGGGTCAGTTTGCTGTATTAAAGTAGGACAACCGTGCAGCTCCTTGCTTGTGGGACACTAGGCTCGTCCCGGTCGACCGCCAAATTATAAAATACTGCACAAGTGACTGATGTTTCTGCCCTCTGCTGGCTGCTTCACAGTCTGATGATGACTGAACAGAGTGGTTCGTTTAACATGCAGAAGGCCTGTTCAATGCAGCAGTGCACTTTCGGGCTTCCGTTAAATGGTACCTCTGTGGGTGAAGTGGGCCTTTTGGAGCAGGTCCTGGTGCAGAGGGTTTCCTCTCTCACTGAGCAGCATTCCACTGTAAACCTCTACAAAATAAAAATATAAAGACTTTTATGCTGTGAGTGCTGTGAGTGTAACAATGTATGTATTTAAAAAAATTATACACACACATGCAGTTGCGCTGCTATTAGCTTAGCTGTTGTTCAAAGTTTAACCTGAGTTTAAATCTGAATGAGAATACATAGATTTATTTTCTAGAATTTCACTTCATTAAGGAGGCTATACACTGTGTTTTTTTCACTCATACCAACCCAGTGCTGAGAATGACCCACCACTCAAAGAATACCTGCTCTGTGGTGGCCCTGTGGGGTCCTGACCACTGAAGAACAGGGTGAATGGGGGCTAACAAAGTATGCAAAGCCTGTAATTGTAGAACTACACAGTGCTCCTATATGGTCAGGGGAGCTGATAAAATGGACAGTGAGTGCAGATACAGGTAGGTATATTTAATGAAGTGGCTGATCATTGAAAAAAAATCTCTTGTGTCTGTTGTGTCGGGAGTGTGCTTCTGTTTTAGGTATTTTATTGGTGCTTCTTTGAACTTAGTTTGCTAGACTTTGTCTCTTGTGTTGGGGAAGTGCTTTAGTTGGTATTTTACCTGCATACTTTTAACTTTGTTTCACAAGAGATTGACTGTTTGTACCACCTGGGGTGTCAAACAGGTAAGAGGGGCACGCCTGTGCATTCACACCACATAGAAGTCTACTCTGTCTAGTTCCCTAGGACAAAGGGCACTGCCATATGTACCTTTGGTTTCCTTTCTTTAGGTTAGCTAAGGTAAGCAATCTTTCGACTCCTCCAGTGTGGTACTAGGTATCACAGCGCACCTTGTTATCATGGTTGGTTTTAATAAAATCGCTTCAACAGCCATATTGGTCTGTTCATCCAACTCATAACCAGTTCAGTCTTTTAATGCCACATCAAAGTCAAAGAACTTCAAAGCGCCAAACATCGGGTCATAACTGTATGACAATTTAATATACTGACTGATAAATAATAAATATTAAAAATATGCCCTTAAAGCAAAATATGTCCTTTAAATGCAGTGTTTGGTTTTAGTTGGGTAGCTGCATCCAAGTCTGAACAAACAAAGACCACTAGAAATATTAGGATTAAAACCAGTTTTGCTTCCTAATGGGAATTGGCTTAATGGTTACCATAAGAGACCACTACTTTCCTGGAGGACACATTTAGATCTGATTATGAAACTATCAGATGCATCTGAAATAATGGTTTCTTTCTTTATTTATTAATTTATTTATTTTTTACAGGGTGCATTACTAGCATATTAGCTACTATACTAAATGGTATGCCAAAAACAGTGCACCACCATTAGAAATGCATTCACTAGTCTGGTGCGTATAGTAGTAGTATGTAAGTAAAGTTTATTTATATAGAGCTTTTTACAACAGGTGTTGTCACAAAGCAGCTTTACACATTACTACTGTATAGTACAGTAGTGATGTGGTTTTGGGCGCAGCTGGCAGAATTATTATTGTTTTTTCAGAGCAATCATGCTTAACTTAACGCTCAGCTGCTTATTAAAGCCCTGACGTTACGGCTAAACCGCTGCTAAGGCGGAGAGTGAAGGGACTCTTTTGTGACATTTGTGGCGAAGGGGGTGGGAGGAAATTGAGTGACGTAAGTGAAATCGTGTTTTTCTATTGGCTGAGCCACAGCAGTGAACCGTTATCTCGAGCTGAAAGGTTTGTTTTCCTAACAGACCAGCGAGAGGACGGTCAGGATATCCGATCATCCAGGGCGGATTTTCCTTCTGATCTAGGCGATAAAATGTGGTGATGGGGGCGGCTACGGCAGTCTGTTTGGTCTTTCTGTGTGGAGTGTTTGTCTCTGCTCTCGGAGGTGAGTCAGTTCAGCTCGGACGGACTGTTTTGCTGCGCCATCATCGCCGAAACCGAAAGTAAAGTGTGTTATTACCAGCAGGACCGTTAACGGGACTAAACACGCAGAGTCAATTACGGTTAACGTTAAAATATGATATTAGGGGATTGGAAAAGACACTCTTCGCTCATTTGTCCTGAATTCAGCAAACCAGCGTTTAAACCACACGCTCAGAAACGCGACACCGCTAACCTACTATCTCAGATACGCAGCTGTGCGTATTTATTTATATCCTCAGCGGTCCTGTTGATCACCTGATTACCTGCTTTATTTCACTTTACCTTCCCCCAGAATCCGGACTGGAGTTAAAGCACCGGTTAGATAAACTGTGTTAAACCTAACTGGGTCTGTCACAGACCTGGACATATGGTAAGAAGACATTAGAGAGAGAGAGAGAGAGAGAGAGAGAGAGAGAGAGAAAGAGAGTGAGAGTGAGAGAGAGAGAGAGTGAGAAAGAGAGAGAGAGCGAGAGAGAGAGAGTGAGAAACAGAGAGAGAGAGTGAGAGAGAGAGTGAGAGAGAGAGAGAGTGAGGGAGAGAGAGTGTGAGAAAGAGAGAGAGAGAGAGAGAGAGTGAGAGAGAGAGTGAGAAAGAGAGAGAGAGAGAGTGAGAAAGAGAGAGAGAGTGAGAGAGAGAGAGAGAGAGTGAGAGAGAGAGAAAGAGAGCTGCTGAGTAACGGTCTGAGTAACTCTCAGCAGCTCCATCAGAGCCTATAAACAGCAGTTAACCCGCTGTTCTCCTTTTCTATCAGAATTTCTTAATGATGCTGCATTAATTTTGATAATGTAAAGAACAGAACCTAACAAAAACTGGAAATGTCTAGTTTTTTTTTATTGTTGTGTAACTAAAAATGCGACTTTAAACAAGTTGAGCACGTGAATCCCTCACAGAACAATCGCACTTTCACTTGTGAATAGTCTCGTGTTTCTGTTCAGATGTTTTACTCGTTATTTTTTACGTCTTTTTCCTCACGTTGGCTGAGTATTTTCTTTTTACACGTCTTTATTTTTTAATTTCATCATGATGGATTAATTTATACCTTTCATATGTATGATTTCATGGACTTTCACGTTATCACCTGTGATAAGTAGGGATAGATGAATTGTTAGGGACGATTCAGTTTTCAGATTAGCTGATAATCAATTGGGCCTCATTCACCTTCCGTTCTCAAGAAGAAATCCCTTTCATAAAACCCTCTTACGCAGGTTTCACCAAGATTCACCAGTGTTTCCTTATTAGGGATTTTTTCTTAGGTAAGAACACAATCTACAAACACTCAAGAGCTCAAAGGTGAGAACAGTTCTGACTTTTTCTTGGGATCTTACTCAAAAACACATATAAGAACAAACTTAGGATGATATTATTGAATGAGGCCCACTGAATTTTTAATCCGATAAGTGCAGAAAATCAGATTTTGTCAGTAATCGTTAAGTGTGTTTACATGCTCTGGAGTAATCAGATACTGGGGAAACTCCAGCTCTACATGAGTCAGGCAGTAATGGGATTTCTGCCTTGCACCCGGCCAATAAACTCACAGAAGAAGACGTGACGTAAATATAATGTAAAACTCAAAACATTATGTTGCACCTTTTTAAAATATTGAATGATGTTTGCAGAAAATATGACTATACATCATGTATGTTTCAGTACAGTGCAGTTAGCTGAGTCATGTTATTTACACTATAAAACTGCAACACAGATCAGTCAGAATTAAAATAGTAAACTGGCCAAGTACATAACATGACTCAGATAAGTGCCCTTGGGCTGTATTTAAATGTTGCAGCTACACCTGTATTGAAAAGTTATTATATATTTTATATTATATAAATGTACATTTTAGAACAAAAATGTCTTTACAATCTTGGCTGATATCTGATTGTGTTATTGTTATCGTGCAACACTTGATAACCACAAGGCTACTTATCAGGTTTTAGGGCATAACATTACATATGATCACATATCCTTCAAATTATGTCATGTGATCATAATGTGTCACGCAGTTACATTCACATTATGTCACGTTTACTTGTGAACATGTGCTTTTTAGTCACCATATGATCAAATGTGAAATCCATGTGACTTCTGTAAAGGTCAACAGGGTTAAATGTACTTTCTTGCAATAAAGACATTAAAACTGTCTTTGTATGTGTTTAATTTCTCATATCTTTATAGTTATGTATGTATTTGTCTTTGTGTACTGTACATATGTTCGGGTGCATAATTGTTTTCTTCCAAACAAAAACATAGTGTAGTCCAAAAAAGGGGTTCTGATTATTTGTTTTTGCAAGTTTTAAAATGCTGTGATAAACGTGATAATGCTTGTTTCTGAGCAGTTCTTGTGACTTTTGTCATATTTCATTTATGCATAAACTTTTTCTATGTATATTTAATCCGTTATTAAAGTCTCTATGTTGCCAAGTGTGTTGTTATATATACATACAGTATATATTGTATACTGTATGATGTATTCATCCATTACGGTGGTATTTGATTCTCTATTTAGTATTCAGACATTTTATCTTTTTATAAGCCACACATATTTTAGCCTGAACTACAATACATTTCATACACAAAAGCTTTTAGATGTAACAGTGATTGCTAATATGTCTGTTTTGAACAAATACTCAAAGCCTGTAAAAAGCTGTTTATGCCAGCCCTTTTAATTATATTATGTTTTAATTAGACGTTACATCTTCTTTCCCATTTCTCTTCCAGACCAACACTCTCTGTACTACATTTACACCGCTCTCTCCAAAGATGTCGCTCTACCAGGGATCTATGAGTTCACAGGACTGGGTCTGCTCGATGACCGGGAGATCGACTACTACAACAGTAAGGACCAGGTTAAGGTTCCTAAGCAGGACTGGATGAGGGAGAGGCTGCAAACAGATTACTGGGAAAAAGGCACCCAGTCTCGCAAGAGCAAAGAGCAGTGGTTCAAGGTCAACGTGGACATCCTGATGCAGCGAATGAGACACAATCAGACCGGTTAGTGATCTGTCACTCATTCTTCTTTAAAAACATCACAAGTTTCCTTCCACTGTGTGATTCCTCTGGTTTTGAGCAGCTAATGTCTTTATCTTCACTGTCTTGTTACATTAACTCAAATTCCAGACCTTCACGTTCTTCAGTGGAGACATGGCTGTGAGATCGATGAGTCAAATGGACACGTAAAATTTCTGAAAGGCATTGATGAGTACAGCTACGATGGGTCAGAGTTCCTCTCTTTTGATGATGACAACATGCGGTGGATCGCTCCAGTTCCAGAAGCTGAGTCAACCAAAAGGAAATGGGATGATGTGGCCATCCTGAACCAGTACACCAAGGGTTACCTGGAGAGAGAATGTGTGGACTGGCTCACCAAATTCATGGAGTACGGAGAAGAAACACTGAGAAAACACTGTGAGTTTGCTTACTTGCCTCGTAAGAGCCCTTTTTAAAACTTCTTTTAAATTTGAACTAGTAACCATTTGTTCGACTGGGTTATTTGCTTCTATTGAAAGCTAATTTTATTGAAATTACTTCCTTTGTTTAGGGTCTCACAAGTCACTGTTAAATAGTTAAGATCAGATGTCCAACCTTCAAAACAAAGGTTCAGAAAAACAACGAAGACATTTTACAGCATACTCCACAGACAGTGAACTGTTCTAAATAGTGTATGGGACGATGTAAACTTTTTTGGGACGTTTTAGTGAGGATTACCTCTCATGTGTTAATTTAACTCTTACTGTCTATAAAACAAAGTCATAAAATCATAAACGTACCAGCAGTTCAAACCCACCGTAAAAATGGCAATGTTTAATGTAGAAACTGCTCTTCATAAAATAGTGTAAATTTATCAATTTTTTACTTTAAATGTAATACTGATTTCCATTAAGTAAGCTAGGATTAAGCAAATGATTGTGTCTGTTCATGTTTGTTTTTCATGCTCTGCCTTAAACATGGACAAATTTTTTACTTTGTATGTTGGAGTTTTATAGTCTCCCTGTAACCTGATTGAATATGGTAGTTTTATTCACAGTCTGCAGTCCAGTGCTTGTTGCGTTAAGTGATTAGCCAATGATGTCTCGTAGTGCCGAAGCATTTAACTCTTTCAGACCTAAATTATGTTCCAAGGCACAAAAATACGATGCTATATTCTTATTCTAAAGACAAGCATAAACGTTGAAAATTAAAATGTTAATTGTTCATAATTACTCTTTGCCAGCTATTTCTTATGCCCATTATAGTGCATGTTAGCTCTGAATAAAAGAGCAGCAGCAGTCCTGTATTAATATGTTATAATTTATTGAGTTATAAGCTCCAACATGGTGAAGCTCCTTTCATTGTTAAAAAATAGCCAAACATGGCCGTTCCTATTTCAGGTACTATTTCCGTCCCTCACATGCATTCTGCAGTTTGAAGCACTTGTGTGAGTGGTAGCTTGAGCAGAAATGGTGACTGGTGTGATTAGATGTAACAGAGGGAGCTCCTGTCAGCTCTCACCAGAAAAATCTGGTAAAAAACGTATTTTGAAATAAATGTGTGTATTCATCTGTTCTCTTTAGCTCCACCAGATGTTCATATGTTTGCGAAGAAATGCACAACTGACTCGACCAAGCTGACCCTGACCTGCATGGCCACGGGCTTCTACCCCAAAGACGTGGTGGTGAGTCTGAGGAAGTTCAGAACTTCACTGCCTGAACATCTACTAACATCTTCAGGAGTCAGACCCAATGAAGACGGAACCTACCAGCTGAGGAAGAGTGTGGAGATCCTGGAGGATGAAAAAGCAGAATACGACTGTTTTGTGAATCACATCACCCTCAACAAACCACTAATTAAACAATGGGGTAATTATATTTGTTGTTTGTTTGACATTCATAGTTTAGTACTGAGAATGGCTGCACTACTTGACATTAGCATAAATGTAAATTCTGTACTAAACCACAATGCAAAATGAACATTTTGTCAGCTTCTTTGTTAGTGCTTGCTCAGTTCAAGTGGGATTCCTTTAATTCCTTTTTGTTTCCTTTCAAGATGGAAAGTGCTATGACTGTACAACGGGGAACATTGTGAGTTTCATTCTTGGAGCCCTACTTGCAGGGCTTGTGGCGGTCCTGGTCGCTGTCATCGTTGTTCTTAAAAAGAGAGGAAAAATCTGTGAGTACACCTGCATACTTGCATTACATTATTCCTTTGTTTTATTTTAGCTAATGTGACTAAGGTAGAAATGGTGAATACATACAGTATGCTCTAAGACACCTAGCTCAACAACTAGTGGGAAACTATCATATACATATGTATAAGTTAATTATCAGCCATATCTTAGTAAAGAAACTGTTGTCTGTGAAGCTGATAATCTCTCAGACAGTCTCTCAAAACACATAAACTGATCAACTGTACATTAGTGCTGCCAGGGGTTAAAGAAATCCAGCCAGCTCTCTATCTGCAGAGTGCTCATACTTTGCTTATTGCATAGTGTGGATATATTTCATGTTTACAATTTTCCTTTGGTCATCATAGAAAGAATGTACATAAATGTAAGTGTGCATTAATTTGATCATTTTTATTTAACAGGTGAGAAAAGTAAGAGTGGGGCATATATTCAAGCTTCTACAGGTTGGTCTATTAGAAACCTTCTCTTTGACCAATAAAATGCAGACATATTTGTGCAATAACCTAGAATCCCTAATAATTTGTTCTTCAAGAGTACTGTTAATTAAAAATCACATTTCGAGTTTGAAAATAAATGTTCAGTTTTCTAAATATGATCACTTTTGTGGTCATTATTGTTTACAGTGGCCTATATAGGAGTGTGGAAAGATCGGGCATAACCATGTGCAATGGCTGCTTTGACATTACTGGAGAAATTGAAGAATAATCTAACCAGACGTGTCTTTCGTGTATGTAAAAAATATGTGTATGTATGCATTTAGTGGGGACTCTATGATACATATGGCCACTGCTGTTCTTAAGATAATTGTCTTTTAACTTCAACACAAATCTCCAGCCTGTGCGTATTCTTATCTCTTTGTTGATCTGTCTTGTCCTTTTCTGCTGCAAACGGCACCAATGGAGTTGAACAGCAGTTTGTGTTTCATGAAGTTTAATTATTCTTATATTCACAATAACATTATTAATACACAGGCTTGCAGTTAACAAGTTTGATTGTACACGTGACTTAGTTTATAAGCTGATCCATCTGTAACAACTCCATTGTTATCATGGTTCATGGAGCCCACGAGTTCATGATGAAATGTTTAGGCCTGGTTTACTGGAAGCAGATTAAACCTCATCTTTGAACAAATTACTTAAACATGGGATTGTGTTTAGTGTTTTAAAATTCTCAGATTTTATTTTAAACTTGTACATATACTGAAGGAGACATCTTATTTTCAATCTAACAGAGAAATGTTTAATGTTTAAACTGAAACACAAATCTTCAACTCATTGCTAAACAGAAAAAAAGGCTTCTCTTCTGACTGAAACACAATACAGGATTTAAAGCATTCTTTTTAAAATTGAGGTGTTTTTCAGTGTGTTTTCTTAATCTTCTCCTTTTCTGTTCTTTTCCAGATAATGGAGACGTTAAAAAGGTGCCGATTGACATCAGTGGGGATAGCACTGTGTTCATTATAAGCAAATAAACATAGAAGTATTACAATAGAATAGCCAGGAAACATGAGTTAAAATGGGAGGAAATTCTGGTGCATTCATTTAAATTCAATTTAGATTCCTTCAAATCCCAGTCAGAATTGGTTTTTATTGTGGTCAGCTGGATATTCCATACTTTCTTGCAATCCTTGATACTAAATTTTAGGTCAGAATGTTTCAGTGTTTTCAGTGATTGGGGTCATGTGTGTTGTGTAGCTTCATATTTAATATATATTGGACAAGAGTACTCAACCTTGCACTACTAAACTATGAATGATATACACAACAGCAACTAGGCACTATAAGTATTTTAAGCAGAACCTCTGGTCAAGGTGTGAAAGAGTGGCAGTAACCAAACGTGTTGACTAGCAATTTGTTCATTTTAAGCATAAAAGCCTGAGTGTATCACAATAGACAAATCAGGAAACATGAGTTAAAATGAATACTTTTTACCTTCCTGAATACTAAATTTTAGGTCAGAATGTTTTATTGTTTTCAGTGATTGTGTTCGTGCATGTGCTGTGTAGCTTCATATTTAATATCCAGTTCATAAGCATGCCATTGCAGTACTCAACTGTGTACTTATTTGTAGCTGTTTGTATTGGTTCCGAATATGTGGAGTGATTTTTTAATCTACTTATGCTTTTATTCATTTTTACTTGTGCAGTATTTCTAGATTCTAGATAAGCTAATTTCAGTAAAGCTAATTTCAGTAAAGCTAAATTAACTTGAATTGTCTTTCAAATATTGATGGTGGGAGTATTTTTTACGTGTAACTGTGAAGGAAAATGGTAGTTTTTTCTGATATAGGTTTTAATCAATGCTGACATAAATCTTTTTCTATGCCAAATGAGATACGGCAGCGTTCATACTACATTTGGGACATAGAGAACAAATAATATACAACACTACAGATAATAAAATAAGTAGAAACATAAAATAAAAAAAACACAATGCTTGCAAGAAGCATAGCTGAAAGATGTGCAGTGTTGAGAAAGTAAATATTGTATTCACTAAAAATACTAAAGTATTGCTGTCATGTGATATGATATTTAGCTAAATTATTGCATTTATGGAAATATATATATATATATGTGTGTGTATATATATATATATATATATTTTTTTTTTTATTTATTTATTTATTTTTTTTTCACATTTATTTAAGTTTAAATAAATAATATCAAGTAAAGCCAGTTCCACTACATTAGCAAAGAAACATTAGAAAGTTTAAATATCAGACTTATCATTAAATAATTCAGTACAAAATTATATTTGCAGGTTCGTGACACCTGAAAGTTCACATTAGTATATTTCACAATTATGAGGAACGTGTGGTGTGTACTGGATGACTAAGTGCCATTCTACTGATTCATTTGCCTGTGAAATGACATTTCCTCACTAATCCATCTGTTTTGCAGTGACAGTGCAGGTGATTTTGTGCCTGGTTTGTTGATTATGATATTTAAAAATGATTAGGCTGTGTTGTTTGTTGGACTGCTCCTTCAATGTGGGCTTTCCTAAGTGAGTGTGTATCAGTGCAGTGTATGACCACACTGCACTGATACACACTCACTTAGGAAAGCCCACACTGAAGGAATGAGGAAGAGGATGATTAGACAGTAAGTTGTAGATTGCAAATTGATATGATAGCATTGTGCAGTGAAGAAGTTTGCTGTGTTGAACTTTTGAAAGTACTTGATGCGTGTAGCACTTATGTTGTCACTATTTTGTTGAATAAAGCTTTTCTTTCAAACTCTCCCTGTGTCTCTGAATAAATAAGATCCACAGGTTTATAATATTCTATCATTTTATAACATTCGAAAGGCTGAGATAGGTTTGTGTGTTTTGTACTGTCTAGTAGCAGTGTTGTAAGTACATTTGGTGGGCAGCACCTGGACCCTAAATCCAGGTAGTTGAAACACAAAAAGCTGTTGATATTTTACGACGTGTTCCAAGGAAGGACTTTTTCCATTCATCCACAGTCCTGATATACCAACACGTAAGAAATACAGACACAGAGCAGCAGCACCTTGACCCACCCATTATAGACAACATTGTGTGCAAAAGTTTAGACCGCAGTCAGTGTGGTCAATTATCTAGTTATGAAAATCACCTGAAAGATTTTTTCTTGCATTACGTTCTAGTCAAGATGAAATCTGAATTAGGAAATGGAAAAGGGAAGTGAATATCTTTCATGATAAAGCTAAACACTGGAAAGGCATACAGAGAGGTCTCTCAAAAACAAAGCATTCCAGTCATTACTACTACAGAATCTGATAAATGAGTTTGTGAATTATCCCAGCATTCACAGTTGCTGAAGAAATTGATCTAATAAGTTATTCCATTGTACCCAGAAGGATAAGCAGCTTAGAAGATGTGTGTGTGTAAATTATTCCATTGTGCAGCCTTTTACTGAACACAGCAGAGGCAAGTACTCGAGTTACATTGTGTGGACTTGAATCAGACCAAAAGAGTCCCATGCTCCTAAAATGATCATAAATCACCCTCAACTATCACCTTTTTTACTTGAGTACACTGAAATTGTTTACTTTTTATGTCTATGTACAGTTGCACTATTCTGTGTGTATGACTGTGTTGTATGCGCTTAAAACATATTTTTATTGACCATACATTTATTCAAAGGGTAATACATTTTTGAAAAATGAAATTTAGTCTAGAGTTTTTGAGCTTATTTGCATAACTGCCTAAAATCCCCAAAATTAAAGCCCCAGGAAAATCTAAGAACTAACTGACTAAACCAAATTACAGATTTGCTTTCCTGAACTGTCCCAGTACATAAACTGATGATGTACTAAGATAATAATTTGCTATTGAAAAAAAATGAACTCAATGAACTGTATTTTCACGATATTTTGAAATGTTAGCTATATTAATTTGTAAGAGCCAGATGCTTCCTAATAGCTTTAGGGACAAGCATAGTGTTTTATTTATGTGCAAAATTTTGAAATATGGCTAGATACACTATATTTCCAGAAGTATTCGCTCGCCTGCCTTCACACGCATATGAACTTGAGTGACGTCCCATTCTTAATCCATAGGGCTTAATATGATGTCGGCCCACCCTTTGCAGTTATAACAGCTTCAACTCTTCTGGGAAGGTTTTCCACAAGGGTTAGGAGTGTTTATGGGAATTTTTGACCATTCTTCCAGAAGTGCATTTGTGAGGTCAGACACTGATGTTGGACGAGAAGGCCTGGCTCGCAGTCTCCGCTCTAATTCACCCCAAAGGTGTTCTATCAGGTTGAGGTCAGGACTCTGTGCAGGCCAGTCAAGTTCTTCCACACCAAACTCGCTCATCCATGTCTTTATGGACCTTGCTTTGTGCACTGGTGCGCAGTCATGTTGGAACAGGAAGGGGCCGTCCCCGAACTGTTCCCACAAAGTTGGGAGCATGAAATTGTCCAAAATCTCTTGGTGCTGAAGCATTAAGAGTTTTTTTCACTGGAACTAAGGGGCCGAGCCCACCTCCTGAAAAACAACCCCCCACCATAACCCCCCCTCCACCAAACTTTACACTTGTCACAGTGCAGTCAGACAAGTACCGTTCTCCTGGCAACTGCCAAACCCAGACTCGTCCATCGGATTGCCAGACGGAGAAGCGTGATTGGTCACTCCAGAGAACACGTCTCCACTTCTCTAGAGTCCAGTTTTACACCACTGCATTCAACGCTTTGCATTGCGCTTGGTGATGTAAGGCTTGGATGCAGCTGCTTCAGCATCCACTGACCCTGCTCTGTCATTTTACGTGGAGTTGCTGTCGTTACAAGTTGCTTCCACTTTGTTATAATACCACTGACAGTTGACTGTGGAATATTTAGTAGCGAGGAAATTTAATGACTGGACTCATTGTACAGGTGGCATAGTAAATAAGTTATATACACATATAACACAATAACACATCCTCTACAGGGACCCCACTTCTGTACATTTAAATATGCTCAGCCAATTCAACTGGAAGAAACTGACTAATCACACCTAAATAAGAGTCTGAACACAAATAATGAATCTGATAGTGATGAAAATAGGACTAAAAATGAAAGAGTGTGAGATTTAACACTGGTGGAGAGTGCAGTATGAATACACTCAACACAGTAGACATCAGTGGAAAGCTGCACTATAGGCATATTTAAGCCACAAGATGGAGCCATTACACTGTTAGAAATAAAGGTACTATGCAGGTACATGATTCGTTCATCAAGGTGCAAACAATGTATGTGTACCCTCAAAGGTACAACAGCGGTTTTAAGGTCCAGTTGTGTACCTTAAATATGTTTTTCCTAGTGGAAAAGTAGATATTTGTATCTTTTATAGACTAATGTTTTAAAACAGAACAACTTAGAAAATATAATTTCAATGGATTATGGTACAATTATTCTCCCTGACTAAAGGTACTGAGACGTACTCCTGAGGGTACCACCCCAATGACAAGAGGGGTACTGCGCCAGAGACAGTGTCGTACCTTTTTTTCTGAGAGTGTACACAATAAATCAGTCTCGTGAACTGAGAAAGAAACCAGAATGACCCAATGCTGTAAGCAGGCATGATTAAAAAGACAATGTTAGAATAAAATTAGGTCATTGTAAGCTGTGTTCAAAAAATAGGTCAGATAGCACAAAAACATCCTGAATGTTTTTTTGACCTGGATGTATAGTTTTCAATTCAGTGCTCAGTTCAGTGCTCAGTTATGTGTCTTTTTCAGTGCTGGGTGGCAGCATGGGTTTAGGTAACTTAGCTGTGAGCAAGTAGAGATTACTACACCAAATACACCAAAAGAATGTAACTTTTACTGTCTCCTGTGCTTCCTGTGTTTCCTGTGCTAACATTTTTGGAATCTCATCATCATCAGAAGAATTCCAGATGAAATTCCACCATTATGTTTACAACAGAGACATTTAAAGTGATTACAAACCACTAGAAGACATCTTTAAAAATGACTACACTGAGCTCTAAGGGTGCTTCACAGATGAAGAAGAGTCAAGTTCAAGTCTGATACATCCAGGTGTGGAATAACGCTGATGCACTAAGGTGAGCTTACCTGGAATAACAGAAGAAAGATCCTGCAAGGGAAAGATGTGAGAGGAGAAATGAAAAATGTTCAAGAGAGCAAAAACAGACGATCATGAAATGCTGAAAAGCTCATGCTGAAGAGCAGCTGAGATACAAGATACTCACCAGCATCCATAAAGTCAAGGGAAAAGTAAGAACAGGAGACGTGCTTTAGTAGCCAACAATGTCCACTGAAACAGAAGCTGTATCCTGATGTGCTGAATGAACAGACAGTAAGAACAGCACCTGGAGAAATACTGGCACAAGTCTGACTGGATGACCATGGGAGAAGATAGGTACTGAATTTTTTAGTACAGTGGAGTCGACCACCCAGAAATCAGCAAGCTGAGTGATGCCACAACTTGAAGAATGATCAATACAATGAAATCCATATTTGCAAGATATGGTATTACAGACCTTGTGGTATCTAACAATGTATTGTAGCACTCGGTTCAAAACATTCGGGGAAAATGACTTACCTCTGATGTAGTGGCTCCCATAGTCAAGACGATAAAAGAAAAACAAAAAAACAAAAGATCTTTATAAGAAGAAGAAAAGACACTTACCTGATCTGCAGCCTGAAAAGAGGGTCAGTATGCAGGAGAGACGTGGCAGCGATCTGTCATCCAGAGGATGCACAATCAACCAAGATCCTTCATGGTTCGCACAATGATTGGCAGACTGTCCCTAAAAATAGGACACTTTTAGTACACAGATGAGAGACTTTTCAGCAACATCAGACACTGTAGATGCTCATCATGGTGACAACGAACAGCTTAGGGTCACTAAGCACATACACTTATTCAACATCTTCAAACAACTAAAGCATAATTACCAACAAAGCTTTATCAAGTCAGATCATGGAGACAATTTAAAAGTCCTGAAACACATTCAGATTAATTTAAGTCCTGTTCTTTCATGTTATGGTGAGTGTTGGTGGTCAGAGGATTACTGCAGGCACACAGCAAAATCAAGCGTTTTTATTAAAACACATTCAAGGGTGACTATCCCTTTAGGCCAGTCTGCTGCTGGACCTCACACTAGAAACTAACATCCAGGCACTCTCTACTATGAATGACTGAACTATAATTCTTCATGTTAATTCAATTAGTGCAAATGCTACACACTAAAATAATGGCTATTTGGCAACCCAGAGCTGAGCCCACAACGGAGGAGACCAGCATGGGTTATTTCAGCCCAGCAGACCAAATGCTGGGTAAAAAGAGATACTGGTACCCAGGCTGGATTCAGAATGAACATATTCAGAATTCTGGGTGATAATTTAAATCAACATCATTAACACACACAGGTACATAAATGTAGAGCTACATTAAAAATCAAAGCAAGAACAAAACTGAAAATCTGATAAGCTTAAAAATAGCTGACTACACATCATGCTCATATGGATAAAAAACACACTGCAGTGTGTTTAACGTAACGCAGATATCTTTTGATTATTCACATGCATTAAAGGGGAATTCCACTGATAAAAAAAAAAAAATTTAATTAAGTAGTTAAGATGTACACAAAGTCGTTCAGAGTGGTTTGATGTGAAATTATCCATTACAGAATATTTTTAAGTGAAATAATTATAAATACGCTGTTTGATCCCTGAGACACTGACACCCAAATCCATTTATGGTGGAGAGATACATGCAGGATGTCTGTGGTGAGTGTGGTCGCCACCTTTGATGGAGTTGTGGTAGGTGAGTGATTTGGAGGCTCCCAATTCACCACACTTGGACATCAGATCTCCATCTCACACACATTGCTATAAGGTTTATTGTAGCTATGCACACAAACATATTTATACTCACGAGAAAAAGTGTAAAAACCAAACATATGTAGAGAAATGACTCCACTGACCCCTCAGTCAGCATCCACCATTTACCCAAACAAAACAGCACACAGCAGTGCTGCGGGAGTTTCTCTCCATACATACATGTCCACATTCAACGTACAAACAATATTGATAAGCTAGCCATAGTTAACATTGTGTCTTCCCTTTTTACAGGTACCTGCAATCTGGATCCCCCCTCACCTGGATCCCCCTGGACCTCAGGTAAATAGAAGTTTAGATTTTTACTACTAAACGTCTGTCATAATAAAAGCCACCTTAATGTCGATGAAGGTAAGAGGTGAACTATAGTCCTGGTGATGTGTTGGGGTGTCCTAACATCATCACAGTGTTATAAGGCAAAAATAATCTTGGATTCACCTCTGTTTCACCATCATCAACATTCCATATAAACTCAGAAGACTCGTGTAGGTTCACTGGTGGTTTGGATAGTAAATAAAATCTCTATGTCTGTGTTGTAGTCATGGTGACCCCTGGTTCCTATCACCACCACTGTAAAGACATCAGAACCATTTCACACCAAACCACTCTGAATCACTCTGTTTACATCATAGTGACTGAATAAAATAAAATATAATATATATACAAATAAAATATATCGGTGGAATTTCCCTTTCAGGGGCAGGTGTCTGGCCGCTGCAGTAAAACAGAGTGAGACAGTCTGCCTAATCCCTTTATCTCTCAAAATGAACAGAGCCCTTCTAGATTAGTTCTAAATGCTTAATATGCTAATATCGAGACGACACGCTTTGAAAATCTCTCTATTCATACATCCATCATCTAAACTGCTTATCCTTCTGGGTCGCGGTGGGGTGCTGGAGCCTATCCCAGCTGTCATTGGGCAGAAGGCAGGACACACCCTGGACAGGTCACCAGTCCATTGCAGGGCAGACAGACATACACAGTCACACCTAGGGGCAATTTAGCATGTCCAATCAGTCTGACTGAATGTCTTGGGACGGTGGGAGGAAACCGGAGTACCCGGAGGAAACCCACGCAGACACGGGGAGAACATGCAAACTCCACACAGAAACGACCCTGGTCACCCAGCCGGGAATCGAACCCAGGCCCTTCTTGCTGTGAGGCAACAGCGCTACCCACCGCGCCACCATGCCGCCCTCTCTCTGTTCACCAGCTTCTCATTCCAACTTTCCGTTCGACCTTAAGTGGCGCAGAGGTTACATTACGGCGCTTGTACAGGCCCCACTAACTGCTACACGATTTAAGGTGGAACGGAAAGTTCGAATGAGAACCCGGCATAGAAGAGACGAACGACAGCTCCGTTTCGGTGACCGGAGTCATTCCGGGTCGAAAGTAATTTCTCTCCGTAATCCGGTATCTGAATCCCAATCAAAGTCCGACACCGCCAGAAAACAACCCTTTAAAATGAACTGAAATATCAGAAAAGCTGCTGCAGTGGGTTGCTTATGTTGCCATGATTACAGTCACAGCGCAGTTCAAGCAGAGAAGCGGAGCTTTTAGCTAATTTACGGCTTTTAGCTCCATTTTAGATCTGGTTAATGACCATCAGCTCATATTCCTGAGAACCAGGTGGAAACGATGAAGGTGTATATCTAGTTTTATAGTGCCAGGTTTTCTTATTTCTATATAATAATAATAATAATAATAATTTACTGTTGAGCTAAATATGATTGTAGGAATAAATTCAACACATTATATGTAATTTTATTTAACCTAGTAGCTCTAATATACACCCAGAAAAACGTTTTTAACCCGTGGAAGCCCCTCTCCCCCTTTCATGTGAGCTCATATGTGATCCTCTGAGGCTAATTAAGTTAGCTAAGCTAGCGAGCTAACGCTAATCCGGTCACAGACGCCTCTCACAGCTAAACAGAAAATACTGTTAATATTCTTACACTTTACTCAAAACCATCACACGGTTTCACGGTTGGTGTTTTAGGAGTAAACGTCCCTTTAAATTATGTATTTTAAGGGATTTTTCAGTAATTTTACTCACAGATTTGAGTCGGATCGGCTGCCTGAGGGAGAAACCGTTTAACGGTCACTGTAAATGCAGCAGTTTTTGAATTTATTTTGAAATACACGCCTTTATTTTGAAACGAGTACAAACAGGACGTAACTCCGTGAGCTTCACAGAGACCGAGGAGCACCTGTAGCGGTGATGTTACCTGCCAGTTTGTTTTTTCTTTTTATTACTCCATGCTTCGTGTCGTTTGCTACAGCCTTGTGAACGTGATGTTAGGAGAAGTGTAAGCTGAAGAATTGTATTTTTGACCGTGAAGATTGCCTCTGGGGAATGACTCTGCCGTTGGTTGAGAAGCAGGCTAAAGTGGTTAGTATTACTCTGAGTATTATTTTGGTACCAGCTACAATGCTAAGCAGTGCTATTTTTGTAATGATTACAATAACTAATGTTGTCTTTATTTTGTTTACTTGAACATTTAGTTCTACGGTGTTGATGTGGTGTCAATAAACATCTGTGAAAGGAACCGGAGTCTCGCATCCAATCAATGGGCGGCATAGTCACTCTGTTCGAATCGCTCCCTCGCGCCGTGGGCGGGAAAATCACTCCCTGGCAGCTCTTTTCAGTGAGTCAGATCAATCGGCTCAGATCGTTAATAAGAGTCGACTCTACTCTTTCGGCTCCCAAACGGCTCTTCATTCAGCAGCATTGTCCGTTTATTGATTAGCCAAGTTAACAATATTGTTTATTATTTGTTTTTCAGTAAAACCTCCGTCTGCTCTCTAAAGAAATGTGCGTTGTGTTTGTTATGAAACGAAAAAGTTAGATGTTGATAAGTAGATTAATCAAAAAACGGCTCCTCAGTGCGAGTCGGCTCCCAACGCTCATCTAAAAGATCCGACTCAAAGAGCCGACTCCTTCGCGAACGACACTTCTCTGCTGGCTCGGCTATGAGTTGGTCGGTTAAACAGCGTACTGATAGGCGCGGCTGCGGGCGACATTACTTTACAATGAGACTGAGAATAAGATGGGATTATCAACAATGTCGATACGCGAACAGCGCAGACGGTGCTTCTGACAATGTTGCACCAACGTTGCAAGAAGTTTTTTTGTTTTTGTAGTTTTCTTTAAAATGCAGGTTTACGCAAAAGTAGCTTATATTTTATAAAAAAAAATATTTTTTTTAATAATAACAACAACAATAATAATAACATATAACGAAGACATTCAAAGAGAAATAACAATCGGTTACTTTCAAAACTCAGAACAGAAGCTTTCTTTTTTCTTTAACAGAAAACGTAAGCAGTGGCATAACGACGGGTCTAACGGGGATTGCAGCTTCCTGTGCGAGTCGGATCAGTTGGTTCGGCTCACTGATGAGAGTCGATTCTTTCGGATATCTTGTGTTGTGTTTGTATTTAAATAGAAGTAAAAGACAGAAAGTGCTCACACCACAGACTACATACAGGTGAGATTACTGTACATTACTCAGGTGAGCTTTATGCTGTGTCTGCTGCCCTCATTTTACATTTTAACTCATTTAAACTCAACTCGGGGATTTGACAGAGCAGCATTTCTCAGTAAGCAGGAGAACTCGAGGACTGTCCAGTGGGAATGGTCTTTAGCTCCTCTCCTGTTGGACAGGCCTGTTTTATTGGCCTGAGTGTTTAGGCTAACTGGGAAACCCTGCTTTGTGAGTCGGCTCCGTTCACATAAAAGAGCCTGACTCGAAGAGTCGGTTCTCTGAATGAACCTCGTACAGGAGTGTGGAGGAAGTTTTCCCTCGTCCGCTTTTTCTTTTTCGAAGAATGGTTTATTTAACTCTTCTTCGACGATGCTCACGGTGGTCGAAGGTGACGATGATTCATACTGGTTTAGTTTTAGCGCTGCTGAGTTTGAGTTTTCTTCTGCCTGATGTTGTTGGAGGTGAGTTTTCTGTCCTTTTACTCTGACTGAAGTTTGAGAAGTTAGTTTCACTTTTAAATGAATCAGACTGAATATAAGGTAACCTATAGATCACTGCAGCGCAGTTATTCTCTTTATAGTGTTGATTAATGTCAGTAAATCAGCGCTGAGGGGGTTAAACTGATTCAGTGTCTGATTAAACTGCAGTATTAACTATTTACTAAAGGCCGGTGTTACGGTAAATTCAGTTCCCCCTGTTCCCCCCCTCATCGCGCATGTCGAAATCTTAGATGGGCTTAATTCGTTTGTGTTTGTACCGTTATGTCGTCCGGTTCCTCGCTGTAAGCGAATTATCATGTTTGTAAAATGCCTTGTAGTTAAACACGTTTAAAGTGTAAAATGTGTTGTTAGCAGATGTTTTAATGCTCAAACACTACGTGGGCCATCTTGCCAATGCTAGCTTTGGCTCCGTTTCCAGCTACTCCGAGTAACAGAAGTTAGATTTATTGCGCCATTTCTGATTTAATTACCGCACATGCAGACACATTCTGTAGTTCAGACTTCAGTGGTTTTAAGGTGTATTTATGTCCCACATCCTCATCAGTCTCGCCAAGTTCTGTAAATAGATCTGAAACATTTGTTGCTGAAACAAATAAACTGCATTAAGTTACACAGCACAGTAATTAGTCTGTTATTATTGTTAGACTACGTATCTCAGTGCACCTAGGAAGTTGGTTTCCCTGTAGTTTTTGAGGCTGAAGTCTTACTGTTATGGTACTAATGTGACTCTTTACAGTAACTTTTATTCATATTTTATAAGAAAAGTGTTTTCCGCTTGTATATTACAGCTGGAGTGGATTAACAGTACAGCAGTGATGCTGATAATCTATTTCTGAGCATGATCATTTCACTCAGTAACTTTTATTCATTTTTTATAATCTTTAGAACTGAGAATACAGGGGAACATCTTTAACCAGAGCCTGAGAAAAGTGGTTTCCTCTTGTATATCACAGTTGGAGTGAATTTAATGTACAACAATGATGCTGATAATCTATATCTGTGCATAATCATTTCACTCAATAACTTTTATTCATTATTTATTACCTCCTTTACACTGAGAATACAGATGGAACAGCATTCTCAGTGTACTAGTCGATTACAGATATTAAAGATTTAATGCACTATTATATTAAGTTGTTTATATTTTCATTTTATTCCAACTGCTTTTTCCATTAACATTGTTTTATACAGAGACTAAACGGTAGAACAGATTTACCCAGTGACCCTAAAAAAGTAAGTTCCAGTAAAAACTGGCAAGTAGGATCAGTTTATTATACTATAATGCTTTCTTTGCTTTTTCTGTCCTCCCAGTAACTACAATGGGTCCAAAATCTTAAAATGTAGTTAATTAAATGTAAAAAAAAGATACATTATATGTTTTACCATTTTTCTCAAATTCAATGATTACTACATGCAGGTGTACTACACTGTAATGTTTCTTGATACAGCTATGTCATCTGTTACTATGTTACCACGTCTAATGGAAGTAAACAACTGGGATTTGATCAGTGTTCCTGGTAAATGGTTTTTCCTTTCCCTACACTACAATGGGGCATAAAGGTACTAATAATCCTATCATTTCCTTATATTACAACAGGTTATAAGTACTGTAATAATTGTGTTGTGTAAAGTTTGTATAATATGAATAAAAGCTACTCAGTGAAATGATCTTGCACAGATATAGATTATCAGCATCACTGCTGTGTTTTAAATCCACTCCAGCTGTAATATACAAGGGGAAAACACTTTTCTCAGGCTCTGGTTAAAGATGTTCCCCCTGTATTCTCAGTGTAAAGGTGGTCTGGTTAAAGATGTTCCCCCTGTATTCTCAGTGTAAAGGTGGTCTGGTTAAAGATGTTCCCCCTGTATTCTCAGTGTAAAGATGGTCTGGTTAAAGCTGTTCCCCCTGTATTCTCAGTGTAAAGGTGGTCTGGTTAAAGATGTTCCCCCTGTATTCTCAGTGTAAAGGTGGTCTGGTTAAAGACGTTCCCCCTGTATTCTCAGTGTAAAGGTGGTCTGGTTAAAGACGTTCCCCCTGTATTCTCAGTGTAAAGGTGGTCTGGTTAAAGATGTTCCCCCTGTATTCTCAGTGTAAAGATGGTCTGGTTAAAGCTGTTCCCCCTGTATTCTCAGTGTAAAGGTGGTCTGGTTAAAGATGTTCCCCCTGTATTCTCAGTGTAAAGGTGGTCTGGTTAAAGCTGTTCCCCCTGTATTCTCAGTGTAAAGGTGGTCTGGTTAAAGATGTTCCCCCTGTATTCTCAGTGTAAAGGTGGTCTGGTTAAAGACGTTCCCCCTGTATTCTCAGTGTAAAGGTGGTCTGGTTAAAGACGTTCCCCCTGTATTCTCAGTGTAAAGGTGGTCTGGTTAAAGACGTTCCCCCTGTATTCTCAGTGTAAAGATGGTCTGGTTAAAGACGTTCCCCCTGTATTCTCAGTGTAAAGGTGGTCTGGTTAAAGCTGTTCCCCCTGTATTCTCAGTGTAAAGGTGGTCTGGTTAAAGCTGTTCCCCCTGTATTCTCAGTGTAAGGTGGTCTGGTTAAAGACGTTCCCCCTGTATTCTCAGTGTAAAGGTGGTCTGGTTAAAGCTGTTCCCCCTGTATTCTCAGTGTAAAGGTGGTCTGGTTAAAGACGTTCCCCCTGTATTCTCAGTGTAAAGGTGGTCTGGTTAAAGACGTTCCCCCTGTATTCTCAGTGTAAAGATTATAAAATATGAATAAAAGTTACTGTAAAGAGTCACATTAGTACCATAACAGTAAGACTTCAGCCTCAAAACCTACAGGGAAACCAACTTCCTAGGTGCACTGAGATACGTAGTCTAACAATAATAACACAGGCTAATTACTGTGCTGTGTAACTTAATGCAGTTTATTTGTTTCAGCAACAAATGTTTCAGATCTATTTACAGAACTTGGCGAGACTGATGAGGATGTGGGACATAAGTACACCTTAAAACCACTGAAGTCTGAACTACAGAATGTGTCTGCATGTGCGGTAATTAAATCAGAAATGGCGCAATAAATCTAACTTCTGTTACTCGGAGTAGCTGGAAACGGAGCCAAAGCTAGCATTGGCAAGATGGCCCACGTAGTGTTTTGAGCATTAAAACATCTGCTAACAACACATTTTACACTTTAAACGTGTTTAACTACAAGGCATTTTACAAACAACGTGATAATTCGCTTACTGCGAGGAACAGGACGACATAACGGTACAAACACAAACGAATTAAGCCCACCTGAGCCCCCCAGAGGAGCATCGACTGAAGACGTCATGATTTCGACATGCGCGATGAGGGGGGGAACAGGGGGAACTGAATTTACCGTAACACCGGTTCTGCTCAGCTCGGTTCAGCTCAGTTTGTATTGAAATGTTTATGGTCATTAAAGGCCTCAACTGGCGAATGTCCAGTTAATCACCTAACTAAAGATTCTCCAGAGTACAGACAGTGAAACACTGTGTGGAGTATAAATAGAATAATATCTGGTAACATATGAACGAATGGCTGAACAGAAATGGAGACCTTGAACAGAGAAAACTAATCTGAGGTTGTTGTTTTGGGGCGAGTGAAGTTCAGTAGTGCTGAGAAAGTCTGTAGACTGAGGAATGTGTGCTGCTGTTTAGTGATTAGTTCCCAAATTCCAGTATGAAGAGGGAAACTGGTATCGCCGACAATAAGCCTGGTCAGATCTCAGTGCTTTGTGAAGTCTAGTTTACCCTGTTCACTCTATTTACACCAGTGTTCTGGAGGTGGTGTAGAAATGTATAGAGGTGATGCACAGAAATAGGCTATCTTACTAGTTGTATTTGTTGTTTGACTAACTGAATCCTCCACTCTGAGACTGTGATATCTGTGAACTACAAACACTGTTTACACTTTGGTATCAGCAGATACTGGATATTAAAAGAGCCTTGAAATTAAATCAGGTCTTGATCAGGACGTCTATATTTTATATGCTTGAGGTAAATTATGATTCAGTTCAGGTGGAATCGGAGTGTAAAAGTGCAAAAGAATGAAATGATATTGAACTTGACTTTAAGAAATTCCTTCATATAAATCACTGGTCCTGTTTATTGTAGTGAAATCATTGTTTAATATCCAGTCTTTTTATTTCTCCACAGATGAACACTCTCTGTGTTATCTCTACACTGTCCAGTCTAAAAGCTCTTCAGACAGAGGCTATGAGTTCAGTGCAGTGACTCTGCTGGATGACAGACAGATTGACTTTTACAACAGTACGAAAGAAACCAGGACTGCTAAACAGGACTGGATGAAGGACATAAAGGAGAGTGAGTGGAAAGATGGCATTGGAAAGCTGAAGTCTGATGGACAATACTTAAACAAGGTCCTCGACAACCAAATGAAGGCCTTCAGACACGATGAGTCAGGTGAGGAAAAGCTTTTGTCTTTTTTTTATTAATTTCATGTCTTCATGCAGAGGATGGAGGTAGATTAACAATTATATTCTGCTTTTAATCTTTATTTAAAAGACTTTGTTCAGGATGCAGTAAAATGCTTCAAGTTATTGGATTTATCTGAGCAGGTGGTCAGTGGGAAATGCTAACACGAACATAGTGAGCTGGCGCTAGTTCATAGAACGTTAATGTTAAATTTAAGATAAAACCATTATTTGAACAGTGTTACATTGACATAACCATGCCATGAGCATTGATAGAATAACACATTATTTTCATTAATATAAGTGTCAGTTATGGACAGTTGTCATGACAGATACATTATGTTTGATTAAACATCATGGCATATATAATGATAATTGCCAGTAATGGTAACATGATCCCGTTATATTACTGAACATAACCTGTCATGACAACTCACGACAGCAAATGATTTCTGCTGCGACATGTTTGTGGCCTGATTAGGTCAGTCTTATGTCGCAGAATTCAAGAAAAGTGTTACCAGAGGCATTTTACAGTTTTTCACCAATATGAGAATATGGCTCTGGATTAGCAAATCTGTCTGGATTAGCGTTACAGAGAAATGTAAGATTCACAAACGCAGTAAAAAGGTATAAAGTGGTTTCTGAGTGATGTTAAAACCTTTTAACTTTTAATTTATACCTTAAACCTTTGTGTTTTCTCGCCTTGACTATTGTAATGCGTCGCTTCCACAACCAACAAACTGCAGCTTGTGCAAAACACACCTACAGGAATATTAACACGTTCCAGAGAATGAGATCATACGAGAGCAGTTTTACTGTCACTCTGGCTGAATATTTTATTACTAAGTTACTTTACTAGTTTTCAGATCTCTAAATGGCGCAGCGCCTTCATTCATCTCCGACTGTCTGATGAACTCTGTACTTCTATAACCTAAGAACAGCTCAGCCAGTTTGAACTGAAGTCCCTGTAGTTACTGAATAATAAGCCTTAAGGATTATAAGGGGTTAAAAAGGTCATTCACTTCAGCATTTAACAAGCTTTTATTACTCCTGCTTTTACTGGAATGTTACTACTACATTATTTTCAGATGCCTTTGTTTTTGTTATTGTTGTTTATTCTATTTACGTTTATGTTTTTAATTGTTATTGTTCTCTGCTTTTATTTGTTGCGTATTGCAGTTTGCTGATTTTATTTGACTGCCACTTGTTTCTTTTCCTTCTCTGTTGTTTTCAGTTCACGCTGTAAAGCACTCTGAGCTGCACTTTAAATATATGAAAGGTGCTACATTCTTAAAGTTTATTATTATTAATATAAATATGATCACTTCCTCACCCTCTGAGTAGAGGGGTTAAAGGTGATGGTTATAAAGATTCCTCTGCTGTCCTGCTCATCACTGACACATCCAAACAGCACCACAACCCTGATTAGTGTTGCCAGATTGGGCGTAATCATGCCATGAATGAATTTCAGGGAAACGTATTGTTTATCATTATGCCTGGTGCCAGTTAACAAGGTTACCATGGGAACAGCTGTCAGTGACAGTAAATTTACAGCCAGTTTTATAAACATAACTGAACAGAGCGCAGTTCAGATCAGTAAGAGCTTATTATTGATTTGTTTGTGATGATAATGCTCAGCTGACGTGATTTATATTCCTAATTTTTGCTTTGCCTGATCACATTCTTTACATTTCAAATTTTTCAAATACAAATTCTTCAAATTCAACTGCATTCAGTAATCGTATGATTAATGGAGTAGAGCAGATTCACAGCAGGAACAGCCATGTTTGCAATTGTTTTATGTCAGCATTAATAAGGAAAACATCACATATTGTACCTAGATAGATGAGTAGACGAGGCTACATTCACATTACAGGCCTCATTGCTCAAATCAAACCGGCGTCCTGAAATTACCTGCATGAGCTCGTCCTACTCAGTAACGTCACGTGAATGAATCACTGCATCATCAGCACAAACTAACGAGCTTCGCTGAGAAGGTAATTAACTCTGATCAGCTCTCAGCTTCATTATTAGAGCGAGACGAAGGAGAAAAAGGGGAGATGAGCTGCTTTTCCACCGTTTACAGACTTTAACTTCTGTTCGGCGCTGCTGCCATGGTAACGCTGAATGATGGTCTGAGCATCACATTAAGGTCACATGGCCACGAATCGGATACCTATCCGATCTAGGACCACATATGAAAGCGGCTCAGGTTGGATTTGAAAAGATCAGATTTTTATGTCCACACAGCCCTGAAAACATCAGATCTGAGTCACATTAGGGCAAAAAATCAGATTTGTGTCACTTCAACCTGATAATGTGAACGTAGCCCTAGAAACATGACTGCTGAGCTGCACTGATTGAACACAATTAGGGGGGAATAGTGAACTACAGCCGCAACCTGTACTGAACTGTGCTTTAATCTGACAAATACTAAAACTAAGCTCACACAAAGTCACTGTTTTCTCCTGCGTCCACTTCAGAGTTAGGAACCGTCTCAAAAATGTGTATATAAACACTCTGTAGAAATAAAAAAATGAAATAAATCAAAGGAAAACTATATGACAGAGACATGATGCTGATCCTTTCTTTGCTTTTTATCTTTGAGATAGGCGTGTGCTGTAATACAGACAGATAATCTGTATCTGGCTTTGCTCACATGAATCACTCTTTATATTTCAGATGGTCACTCTCTGCAGTGGAGAATCGGCTGTGAGGGTGAAAAACAATCTGACGGCTCAGTTTCAGTGTTAAACTGCATTAATGAATTCGGCTACGATGGACAGAGTTTAATCTCTTATGACTGGGCCTCGAGGAAATGGTCAACCTCATTCAGTCAGAATGGAGTAATGGAGGAGTGGAACGCTGGACGCGGTCAGAACCCTGTTCAGAATTGTGAAGAGTGTGAGCACTGGCTGAAGATTTATTTACAGTACAACACCACTGAAACCAAACAGAGTGAGTATGTAGAAACTTGCCATGATCAGAGTAATAATATAATTATTATTATTTTAATAGTAGTAGTGATGTAATCATTATGTATTATGTAGGTGTACACAGAGTGAAGTGGTAAACTTGGTATTAAAGGGTAATTCCACTGATTTTTCTGAACTCCTCCATATTGAGATGTAAACACAGTTTTTATGTGGAATGTTGATGATGGGAAACCTAACCTTCTCAAAGGAACAGTCGTGGGCTGGAGGTTACGGAACCAGCCTTGTGACCAGAAGGTTGCTGGTTCGGTACCCAGAGCTAACCGGACATGACTGTGGATAGGGCTGCCCACCATAAAGGGTAACTTACTTACTTACTATATTGTGAATTTGTTTTCTTTCCAGATCAAATGGATGTTCATGTGTTTGCAAGAAAACCTGTAACTGACTCAAAGAAGCTGACTCTGACCTGCCTGGCCACGGGCTTCTACCCCAAAGATGTGGAGATTGAACTGAGGAAGTTCACCACTTCACTGCCTGTATATGTACTGACATCTTCAGGAGTCAGACCCAATGATGATGGAACCTACCAGCTGAGGAAGAGTGTGGACGTCCATGAGGACGAAGCAGCAGATTATGACTGTTATGTGACTCACAGCTCCATCAACACACCAGTAATTAAACAGTGGGGTAAATATATCTGTTTGTTGATCTTATAGCTGATTGAAAGCCAGTTTGAGGAGATTCTAGGCTTCTGAAGTTACTGCAGTTATTATTGTAATGTAGTTGTTATCTTTGCTGAACAGCAGTAGAATAGTAGATTTACAGAAACCAAAAATCAGCCAAAAATACATTTAATGAGTTAAATTTCTGAACATTTGTCTGATTTAATCAACATCAGTGTGGATCATTCTAGCGAATTGGCTTAAACACATTTCAGACCTTTGACTGATCTGGGAGTTTAGTCTAAAATCCTTCTGCTTTGAGTGACTCTGGACCTTAATTATGTTAATTTTATTAAACAAATGATTCATCATTTCATTTTGTCACTACCAAAACAATCATAACACTACCGAAACTTTACCAAATGTTTCAGTGGTGACTGTTTCAGTAGTGGCAATTTTAGCTCATTTTGAGCAGAGCTCAAAAACACTAACCAGTATTAAAACACAAATAGTTCACTTAAAGAGCAATTCTGACATTTTTTTCAAAAATAACTAAAAGTGAGTGAGATGTAAACAGAGAGATTCAGAGTGGTTTAGTGTGAAATGGTTCAGATGTCTTTACAGTAGTGGTGATAGGAACCAGGGGTCTTGAAACAGTTTGGGTTTGGGCCAGACACCTCCCAATAGAAAGAATCCATGATTTTGAACGTATTTAGTTTTTTACTGTTTCTGTTAATGACTGGGGTTTAAATAGATCATACGTTTAAACTAATTCTGTAGAGTGGTCCATATCTGGAATTACTTCCCCAATGCCTGTTTCAGTTGTACATTAATATTATAATTTCAGTCAAATTTGATACTCAAATTTGTAAGGCGTGATTTGAAAAACTGTGTTTGCTGCTGTGAGAATTTTATTCTGTTAAATCTATAGAGTGTAAACTGAGCTTGAGTTGTTCATCAGCAGTTTTCAGCACTTCTCATGTGCTGTAGCTGCACTCTGTACTGTCTGTATTATACTTCCTTAGAACCTCTGACCAAAATGTTACACACCGGCTCTACAGTGCCCTCTGGTGGAGGACACAGTCCAGACATCTCATAGTTCTTAAATATGAGAAAGAGCAGAGATAGAGGCTTATCTGTTTACAAAAGGTCCAGATGTGTTATTTTATTTTTTACACTTAAACTGGACTCATTCCTGCTTAGGAATCTGTTTCAAATAGGAATCAAATATAAACAATATAGATATAAAAAATCATGCACCAACACTTTAAATAAATTAACAGTTGTACATACAGCATACAGCAGGTCGTACAGCAGGTCGTACAGCAGGTCGTACAGTAGGTCTTCCATTACATCACACTGGATCCTGAGCTCTGATGGTGGAATAGTGGTTGTAATGGTGGAAGTTCAATAGAGATCCAGACTCACCCAGATGTGTTTAAGTGTATCTGTTTCCACAGGATGAAGCTTTTCTGGAATGATAGATGAATTTCAGTCATTTCAGTCAAGTGATTATTTTTTTTGTCTGCAGATGGAAAATGCAGTAACTACCAGAGCGGTCTGAGTGGAGGAGTGATTGTAGGAGTGATTGGAGGAGTGATTGGAGGAGTGATTGGAGGAGAGACTGTAGGAGTGGTGGCTCTGCTGGCTGTGCTGGGTGGGATCATATATTTTTGTGTAAAGAAGAGTAAAAGTAGAGGTGAGTATAGACTGAATCAGTACAGACTCTGTTTAAAGAAGGAACATTAACAGTGATGTAAATACTCCACCATGTACTCTGCCCACAGAACATCTCCAGAGTTTTACTAGATCAGTGCTGTCACTGATGTTTCCAGCTGTTCTTCAACTCAGTGTGTGACATTAGTGGCAGCTTTAGAGGTGAAATCGGCAGAAAACTTTATAATAACCAGAACCGTAAAGATCCTCCCTTTAGAATTTCACATCAGCCGGTCAGTTCTTAGAGACGGTGTTCTAACAGTCTCTAGAACCCACAGAGCGGCTCTGCTGTGCATGCACACGTCATAGTATAGTGTAGTAACTTAATATTTATAATGTTTTAATGTGTTTCATTGTTAATTTAGTCTTATTTCAATATTTAATCATATTTGCTAATTAAAATATTGAAAAATGAATTAGAATTGAACTCAGTTTGAATTACAGGGACTTTTACCTGTTGTTATGTTTTATCAGTGAACAGTGAGTCTCCAGTAGCAGTGCATCTAAAGAGAGTGAGATAATCTGCCTGCAGGTCACACAAAAACAGTGATTCATAGCTAGACTTTGTTCAGGACAGTCAAATGGTGATACTCAGCAGTGGTCAGAGGTAGAGCTGTGGAGATTCTAGTTAGTGAGCTGTCCATCCAGAGTGGACAGAACCTTAAAACAGCACCACCCATTAAGATAGAGGCAGCTGAGTTTAGCACACACTCATGTAGAGCCTGTCCAGCTGACTCATATTAACGTCTGCAGAGATTCTGTCTGTAACTTTTATTCTTTTTGAAATACATTCAGGTTGCAAATTATCATTTTGTTTTGGATTATAAATACAGTTTTTACTTTCAGGTAAAATAGACAATCATCATAAGTAGTTTACTAGAATTACTTCTAGAGTTCAGTGACATGGGAAGGTGTTTAAAGTTGGGGAGCTGAAATTTTAAGCAGTGTTTGTGACATGACTTTATGCAAAATGATCCACCTTTTTATTTTGAATTTTCTATTTTCTATCAAACAGCGTTTTGTGACCTGCTGTAATGAGGACGACAGTTTAATATCATAACTGATACATTAAACCGCTGATAATGATTTCTCTGCTCTCTCTTCTTCTGGGCGAACTTTGTGCAAATGAACTGAACGGCGACCAATCAGATTGCTGATATATGTTGCATTCAAGATTCAGCACTTGAATGGAGAAATAACAGTTAATAAAAAAAAGAATGTGTTCAAAGTGCTGGACATTTTTCTGTGTTTGAGTGTAAAGATGGTATTCGGCTGCTTTGGGGTTCAGAACTGCCCACAGCTCTGACCACACTTCCCTCTTTAACCTCAACCTGGGAGTGTTTTAGTGACGCCCCCAAAGTGGTCAGCAGGTCAGGGAAGTGATTCGGCTCTTAAACAGTGAACGGCTACTGCAGGGATTGAAAATATACGGATAAAATATAAAAACTCAAACTCTAAAACAAACACACTGAACTTTACTGCGTTCAGATTCATTTACAGTTCAGATCTGTTTTCATTTAAGGAGTTTCAGTTAAAGGATCCTGAAATCTCAGCACCCCCACTCCCCCCGTCCTGCCTCAGCAGGCCGTCTGTTAGTGTTGTTCTGCCCTCACAGTGCGTTCAGGCCTCCCTGACAGACAGTCAGCATATACAGTCATGCTCAAAAGTTTGGGCACCCCTGGTCAAATTCCAAGTGTTATTGAAAATAAGTTTACACACCCCCTACACTGAACACATTCCTGTACATGTAACACACAGTTACCGTTTATTTACTGAATTTAACATATTGGGACATAAGATGTGGCCTGTGTAAAAGTTACAGCACATTCATAATGAAAATGAGTGCATTAATTTAATTATTTTGATTTAACAGGTGAGAAAAGTAAGAGTGGGTCAAATGAAACCAGCAATGGACATGTGGTGTATATTCCAACTTCAACAGGTAGGTTGGTTTATCAGAAACATTCACTTTGACCAGTGAAATGCAGATATACTTGTGCAGTAATCTGGAATCCCTAATATTTTCCGGAACATCATAATGTCTAACTTGCATCATGATTCAGTGCCATGTACTGTTTACTGAAGTTGATATACCTATTAGGCTACATCTTATACAGTCAACTACTGAATGTTAAATCAAATAAAGTACACTTCAGTCATATTTCAACAATATTTATTGTCAGTTTTCACTTTTTAGAGAACGTCATGTAAAATAACTTTCCTCTGGCTCACTTTCGTCTCTGACATCTCATGTGTGCCTCGCTCACTGGAGTCTCAGTGCTCATTGTAATGCGTAACGTGTGATATTGACAACGCATGCGATTGGTCTGTCAGTCTCCCGGGCGGCTGAATCTACTGTAAAGACTAGAAAAGCTACGCCGGTTAAAATAGTAAAGCGAAGATTAAATAATTCCCTATAGTTTATAGTTTGTCCGCATAGGACAGCGTCTGGGTCTGGACTCGGACTGCGGTCCGCCTATTAGTGACCTCTGCTGTAGCCTATATAGGAGTGTGGAAAGACCGTGCATAACCATGTGCAATGGCTGCTTTGACACTACTGGAGAAATTGGAGAATAATCAGTGGGTAGCGCTGTCGCCTCACGGCAAGAATGGCCTGGGTTCGATTCCTGGCTGGGTGACCAGGGTCATTTCTGTGTGGAGTCTGCATGTTCTCCCCGTGTCTGCGTGGGTTTCCTCCGGGTACTCCGGTTTCCTCCCACAGTCCAAAGACATGCAGTCAGGCTGATTGGACATGCTAAATTGCCCCTAGGTGTGATTGTGTATGTCTGTCTGTCTGACCTGTGATGGACTGGCGACCTGTCCAGGGTGTATCCTGCCTTCCGCCCAATGACAGCTGGGATAGGCTCCAGCACCCCACCGCGACCCAGAAGGATAAGCGGTTTAGATGATGGATGGATGGATGGATGCATTTAGTGGGGACTCTATGATACATATGGCCACTGCTGTTCTTAAGATAATTGTCTTTTAACTTCAACAGATCTCCAGCCTGTGCGTATTCTTATCTCTTTGTTGATCTGTCTTGTCCTTTTCTGCTGCAAACGGCACCAATGGAGTTGAACAGCAGTTTGTGTTTCATGAAGTTTAATTATTCTTATATTCACAATAACATTATTAATACACAGGTTTGCAGTTAACAAGTTTGATTGTACACGTGACTTAGTTTATATGCTGATCCATCTGTAACAACTCCATTGTTATCATGGTTCATGGAGCCCACGAGTTCATGATGAAACGTTTAGGCCTGGTTTACTGGAAGCAGATTAAACCTCATCTTTGAAAAAATTACATGAACATGGGATTGTGTTTAGTGTTTTAAAATTCTCAGATTTTATTTTAAACTTGTAAATATACTGAAAGAGAAGCCTTATTTTCAATCTAACAGAGTTAAGAAATTATGTTTAAACTGAAACACAAATCTTCAACTCATTGCTAAAAAGAAAGGAAGGCTTCTCTGAAACTTCCAACATTGCGAAACACAATACAGGATTTAAAGCATTCTTTTTAAAATTGAGGTGTTTTTCAGTGTGTTTTCTTAATCTTCTCCTTTTCTGTTCTTTTCCAGATAATGGAGACGTTAATAAGGTGGTGATTTACATCAATGGGAATTAACCCAGGCTTAACCCTGTTTCTATGGTCTCATTCCGAGAAGCTATAAAAGATAAAATAATCCTTTATTAGTCCCACAACGGGGAAATTCTCAGCTGTTGCTCATAAGGTTTCAGCATTTTAATGTATGTTTTTAATATCAAGGATTTGAGAATCGCTCTAGAGTATTGCGTTGAGCACTTTTCTTCACACTACAGTATTAGTCATATTAAGTATTTCAAGCAGAACCCCTGGTCTAGGTGTAAAGAAGTGGCAGTAGCCAAACATGTTTACTAGCACTTTGTTCGTTTTAAGCAACTACACATAGAAGTATTACAATAGACAGGTCAGGAAACATGCGAGGGAGTTAAAATGGGAGGGAATTCTGATGCATTAATTTCAGTTCAGATAATCGGTTAGATTCCTTCAAATCCCAGTGAGAACCATGTTTTTATGGTGGTCAGCTGGATATTTCATACTTTCTTGCCTTCCTTGATACTAAATTTTAGGTCAGGATGTTTCAGTGTTTTCAGTGATTGGGGTCATGTGTGTTGTGTAGCTTCATATTTAATATATATTGGACAAGAGTACTCAACCTTGCACTACTAAACTATGAATGATATACACAACAGCAACTAGGCACTATAAGTATTTTAAGCAGAACCTCTGGTCAAGGTGTGAAAGAGTGGCAGTAACCAAACGTGTTGACTAGCAATTTGTTCATTTTAAGCATAAAAGCCTGAGTGTATCACACAAGACAAATCAGGAAACATGAGTTAAAATGAAATGCATTCATAGTCAGATTCCTTCAAAGTCCAGTGATCACCTTGTTTTTATGGTGGTCAGCTGGATATTTCCTACTTTTTGCCTTCCTGGATACTAAATTTTAGGTCAGAATGTTTTATTGTTTTCAGTGATTGCGGTCGTGCATGTGCTGTGTAGCTTCATATTTAATATGTAGTTCATTAGCATGACTCATATATTGCAGTACTCAACTGTGTACTCATTTGTAGCTGTTTGTATTGGTTTAATAGAGTCTGAATATGTGAAGTGATTTTTTTTATCTACTTATGCTTTTATTCATTTTTACTTGTGCAATATTTCTAGATTCTAGATAAGCTAATTTCAGTAAAGCTAACTCAACTTTAATTGTCTTTCAAATATTGATGAAAATGGTAGTTTTTTTCTGATAGTAGGTTTTTATCAATGCTGACATAAATCTTTTTCTATGCCAAATGAGATACGGCAGCTTTCATACTACATTTGGGACATAGAGAACAAATAAGATACAACACTACAGATACATAAAATAATAGATACAGATACATAAAATAAAAAAAACACAATGCTTGCAAGAAGCATAGCTGAAAGATGTGCAGTGTTGAGAAAGTAAAGCCAGTTCCACTACATTAGCAAAGAAACATTAGAAAGTTTAAATATCAGACTTACATTTAAATAATTCAGTACAAAATTATATTTGCAGGTTCGTGACACCTGAAAGTTCACATTAGTATATTTCACAATTATGAAGAACGTGTAGTGGTGTGTACTGGATGACTAAGTGCCATTCTACCAATTCATTTGCCTGTGAAATGACATTTCCTCACTAATCCATCTGTTTTGCAGTGACAGTGCAGGTGATTTTGTGCCTGGTTTGTTGATTATGATATTTAACAATGATTAGACAGTGTTGTTTGTTGGACTGCTCCTTCAATGTGGGCTTTCCTAAGTGAGTGTGTATCAGTGTAGTGTGGTCATACACTGCACTGATACGGAATGAGGAAGAGGATGATTAGACAGTCATTTGTAGTTTGCAAATTGATATGATAGCATTGTGTGATGTGGTAAGGCGAGGACTCCCTCATCACCAGTGAATACCATCCCTTGGACTTTAAAATACATGTGTGTATATGAAGGTACTTACCTGTGTCTGCCTGTGAAAGGGAAAGTAGCAAAAGGGGGACAGCAGGTAGACCTACTTACCTTATCCTTATTGGGAGGATCTACCGATGGGAAGAAAATGCCATGACTAAGCCTGACGCTTAGTGTTTGTACATACTGTAAATACTTTATCCTCAGTGTATTTTTCACTTTGTACAGTTTTTGTTTTCCTGTTGTGTAAATAAACTGCTTGCTTGTGCACTCTACTTTTACTCTTGCCCACTCTATTGGTTGACCTTACCAGTAAGCCACACGTAAAACAAAAATCCTCTTCTCTGGGTTTAACATCTTCACAAGCATTGTGCAGTGAAGAAGTTTGCTGTGTTGAGCTTTTGAAAGTACTTGATGCGTGTAGCACTTATGTTGTCACTATTTTTGAATAAAGCTTTTCTTTCAAACTCTCCCTGTGTCTCTAAGTAAATAAGATCCACAGGATTATAATATTCTGTCATTATATAACATTCTAAAGGCTGAGATGAGTTTGTGCGTTTTCCCTCACTTTATACTGTCTAGTAGCAGTGTTGTAAGTACATTTGGTGGGCAGAACCTGGACCCCAAACTCCAGGTAGCTGAAACACAAAAAGCTGCTGGTATTTTACAACATGCATATTGATGCAACACGTGAATATGCATGTTGATCATGGGTATTTAAAGGTTCTCTTATAATCTATTACATTACATTTCTACAGCTACAGACAATGCATTACATTATTCTTTGATTTCAAATACTGTATCCGAGTGAAATTCCAGCTCATCAGACCAAACTGATTAATCCAGGTAAAAATGACCAGATAAACAGATCACTGTTAATGTGATATATAATACATGAATTTAATTGAAGTTAATCAGATCATTAACAGTCCATCATTGAGTTAAAGTGACCGTGTTAAAGCAGAAAAAGCACTGAAATGTTAAGGACAGTGGGCCTCCAGGATCAGGGTTGAGAAACACTGTACTAGAAAACTGCTCCAAGGAACCTTTTTAACGAATTAACCCACTACTACTGTGTTATTGGTACCTACAGAAATTTCATTGACGGAGACTTTCCATTCATCCACAGTCCTGAAGAAAGAAATACAGACACAGAGCAGCAGCACCTTGACCCACCCATTATAAACATCATTGTGTGCAAAAGTTTAGACCACTGTGAGATTACATGTTTTGTTGAGTGGTCAATTATCTAGTTATAAAAAAACACCTGAAAGATTTTTTCTCTGGCAGCACGGTGGCGCAGTGGTAGTGCTGTCGCCTCACAGCAAGAATGGCCTGGGTTCGATTCCCGGCTGGGCGGCCAGGGTCATTTCTGTGTGGAGTTTGCCTGTTCTCCCCGTGTCTGCGTGGGTTTCCTCCCACAGTCCAAAAACATGCAGTCAGGCTGATTGGACATGCTGAATTGCCCCTAGGTGTGAATGTGTATGTCTGCCCTACGATGGACTGGTGACCTGTCCAGGGTGTACCCTGCCTTCCGCCCAATGACAGCTGGGATAGGCTCCAGCACCCCACCGTGACCCAGAAGGATAAGTGGTTTAGATGATGGATGGATGGATTGTTTCTCGCATTACGTTCTAGTCAAGATGAAATCTGCTTTAGGAAATAGAAAAGAGAACAGAATGTCTTTAATAATAAAGCTGAACACTGGGAAGGTATTCAAAGAGGTCTCTTACAAACAAAGCATTCCAGTCATTACTACTGCAGAATCTGATAAGTTTGTGAATTATCCCAGCATTCACAGTTGCTGAAGAAATTTCTGTTAATTGATCTAATAAGTTATTCCATTGTACCCAGAAGGATAAGCGGCTTAGAAGATGTGTGTGTGTGTGTGTGTGTGTGTGCGTGTAAATTATTCCATTGTGCAGCCTTTTATTGTGTGGGCTTGAATCAGACTTGAGCCAAAAAAAATCCCATCATAAATCACCCTCAACTATAACCTTTTTTACTTCAGTGCACTGAAATTGTTTACTTTTTATGTCAGTAGGTGCATTATTCTATGTATATGACTGTGTATTCACTTAACACATTGAAATGAAATGAAAATTAGAGATGAAATGAAATTTAGTTTAGAGTTTTTGTGCGTGTCTTGTAACTGTCTCTAAAATCCCCAAAATTAAGGCCTCAGGAAAAATCTAACAATGAACAAAAATGATGACCAAGTATTTACAGCACCTGCCTCCAAAACTAGTGATGTAAAAGCAGCATAAAGTCTTGGAGTTTTCATTAACGACTAAGAAGTATTGTCCCAAGCCTAAACTGAAATGTTTGTACTGCACTGTTGAAGGTACTGAAGGTTCATTCAGCACTTCTGTATGTGTGTATTTGTTAGGCTCTATTCTTTTGAGTGACTAAACCAAATTACACATTTGCTTTCCTGAACTGTCCCAGTACATAAACTGATGATGTACTAATTTGATAATTTGTTATTAAAAAAAATATATAACACCGTATTTTCACTATATTTTGAAATGTTAGCTATATTAATTTGTAAGAACCTGTACTGTTATTGCCCTGTGGTTGACTGGCGACCTGTCCAGGGTGTATCCTGCCTTCCGCCCAATGACAGCTGGGATAGGCTCCAGCACCCCACCGTGACCCAGAAGGATAAGCGGTTTAGATGATGTATGTATGTATGTACTGTAATTTGTACTGCTTCCTGTGCTTCATGTGTTTCCTGTGCTAACATTTTTGGAATCCCATCATCATCAGAAGAATTCCAGATGAAATTCCACCAGTATGTTATAACAGAGACATTTAAAGTGATTACAAACCACTAGAAGACATCTTTAAAAATGACTACACTGAGCTCTAAGGGTGCTTCGCAGATGAAGAAGTGTTAAGTTCAAGTCTGATACATCCAGGTGTGGAATAATGCTGATGCACTAAGGTGAGCTTACCTGGAATAACAGAAGAAAGATCCTGCAAGGGAAAGATGTGAGAGGAGAAATGAAAAATGTTCAAGAGAGCAAAAGCAGACGATCATGAAATGCTGAAAAGCTCATGCTGAAGAGCAGCTGAGATACGAGATACTCACCAGCATCCATAAAGTCAAGGGAAAAGTAAGAACAGGAGACGTGCTTTAGTAGCCAACAATGTCCACTGAAACAGAAGAAGCTGTATCCTGATGTGCTGAATGAACAGACAGTAAGAATAGCACCTGGAGAAATACTGGCACAAGTCTGACTGGATGACCATGGGAGAAGATAGGTACTGAATTTTTTAGTACAGTGGAGTCGACCACCCAGAAATCAGCAAGCTGAGTGATGCCACAACTTGAAGAATGATCAATACAATGAAATCCATATTTGCAAGATATGTTATTACAGACCTTGTGGTATCTAACAATGTACTGTAACACTCGGTTCAAAACATTCGGGGAAAATGACTTACCTCTGATGTAGTGGCTCCCATAGTCAAGACGATAAAAGAAAAACAAAAAAACAAAAGATCTTTATAAGAAGAAGAAAAGACACTTACCTGATCTGCAGCCTGAAAAGAGGGTCAGTATGCAGGAGAGACGTGGCAGCGATCTGTCATCCAGAGGATGCACGATCAACCAAGATCCTTCATGGTTCGCACAATGATTGGCAGACTGTCCCTAAAAATAGGACACTTTTAGTACACAGATGAGAGACTTTTCAGCAACATCAGACACTAAAACATCAAACAGCTGAGAGTCAATAAACACACACAGTTATTCAACATCATGATAGAACTAAAGCATGATTACCAACAAGGCTTTATCAAGTCTTGTAGATTTGGTAGAAATTTTCTGAAAGTCCTGAAACACATTCAGATTAATTTAAGTCCTGTTCTTTCATGTTATTGTGAGTGTTGGTGGTCAGAGGATTACTGCAGGCAAACAGCAAAATCAGGCCTTTGTATTCAAACACATTCAAGGGTGACTATCCTTTAGGCCAGTCTGCTGCTGGACCTCACATCAGAAACTAACATCCAGGCACTCTCTACTATGAATGACTAAACTATAATTCTTCATGTTAATTCAATTAGTGCAATTGCTACACACTAAAATTATGGCTATTTGGCAACTCAGAGCTGAGCCCACAATGGAGGAGACCAGCATGGGTTATTTCAGTCCAGCAGGACTGGATTAAAATCAGGACTGGAACTACAGTGCAGCACTAAAGGTACCCAGGCTGGATTCAAAATGAACATATCCAGAAGATTTCTTCCTCTCTTTAGACCTGTTACAGATATAAGTAAACTCTTCTTTTTTTCTTTTATTTTTTAAACATTTTAGGGCAAAACAAAGATATTATTATATAAAAGACATAATAATACCATTATAAACAACATACAATTATGGAGCACAGGAAAAAAACAGTGGGAGCTTCATGGACATCCTAAGCATAGATACATTTAAATACATATGCAGATAAACGATTTGCCATCAAAAATACACTTCACAAGTAGGACTAATATATGAACCAAAACTCGTTACCGATTGCTGCCACTGAATTACATTAGGTGCTTTGTCAGTAATCCAAAGACATAAAATACATTTTTGGGCACAACCCAAAAGAATATGCAACACTTGCTTACAACCTTAATAAATACCTCACCCACAACACCTGCTAACATTTTAAAAGCTTAAGAATACCAACTTAACAAATCACAACAACAGCATTAACAACAAATATATTTCTGCACCCAAAATTATAAACTTTAGCCTTTGTACATTACATTGAATGCCGACAGCTTCTCATCCACCTCAATCAGATGTCGATGGCTCCCTTGGCGAACGAGGTGAAGCAGGTAAAGCCTCCACCTGCAAGTTGTTCAGTAAAACCTCAACATCCCAAAGAATTTCTCCTGGCCGCCATGGCTAACACGGAGGACCACCAGGTATAACATGGCTGTTGCTTAACCAGGAAGAATTCCTGCTGTCTCCTAATCACCACAGCCGAAAAGCCCTCAAATACTGAACTCTTACCACACTGCCCCTGAGCTTTCCTCGCAGCCTGCATGATCAGCACTTTAGCCTGGAAGTTGTGGAGCTTTACAATGACGGCCCGGGGCCGTTAACCCTGCATGGGGTGACGAGTGAAAGCCTGGTAACAACAGTCCAGCTTCACAGCTCCCCCTTTAAAAGAGACTTTAACAAGCTCAGGCAGCCAGGTCCTGAAGAATGAAATTGGACTGCCCCGCTCTGTTCCTTCAGGCAAGGCCACAATGCAGATGTTGCACCGTCTGCTTCTGTTTTCCAAGTTGTCTATTTTGCCAGTGGCCACAACTAGTTTGCTCTCAACATCGGCGAGCTTGGCAGCATGGTTCGCTACAATGTCATCTGAGACTGATATGCGAACCTCTGCTTCAGTCATTTGGGATTCAGTTTTTCGTGATGCTAGCAGCACACGCCTCTAGCCTCTGCAAAACTGGATCAGTC